ATATATATATATTATTTTTTTTTCTTCTAGTTAACAGTCATTTAGTCTTAAATGCATGGACCAAACCCGAGATCCAACCTCACCCTTATTTCCCACCACACATTCCCTCCTCCTCCACTGAAGCTCTGGGAAGCAGGGAGGCGAGTGCAGCAGCAGTCAGGAACCAAGGCACAGGCACAGCTGGGGTAAACGGAGTCATGTGGGATAGGCTGCCACTGACTAAGCAGGAGTCACGGAACCCTGCCTGCACCCTAGGCAGGGGGTTTCCCGATCACCCTCAAGTTCTCCCATCCCTTAGTTAGACCTTTTAAAGGCACATCCAGAGACGCTGCAACTGGAGGCTGTGGTAAGCTCCACACAGTTGCCAAACAGGGGTTAAGGGGCTGTAAGACTCAGTCACAGAGCGATGAGGCTATCCTTGCCTTCTCTCAGCGGGAGGGGGAGGCAAGGGAAGGGGGGAGGGGACTCCTGGAATCCAGGCCTGCTTTTGTGGAGGTCCAGGGAGGGGCCAGCAACAGGAAAAGACCTTGCTGTGTGTCAGTAATGCACATACTTAACAGATCTTTGGTGCTTGAGTAGCAGCATCTTCCTATGTACAAAGGCTTCTGTAGCCAGCAGAGCTGAGAAAAGTATGCTCCTGCACACAGTTGCTGGCCTGACTCCTCTCCCAGTACTGACAATCTCCTGCACAAGGGCACAAAGCATACACAGTAAGTCTAAACCGCAGTGAATATGCTAACAGTTTAGAAAAGATTTCCTGTGACAGACCTGGGAAGGTTAACTTCCCTTCCCAGTTCTCTTGAGGATCATGAGAAACTCAGCCCAAGCCCTACCCAACAGTTTTGCCTCCTAGTTGTCCTCACAGATGAGAAATTCCTACGTCTTCTCCCCAGATAGGAGGGGAGTACTGGAAGGGTCTCTGAGGGCAGAAGTTTGAGGACTTAGATGGATGCCCACCTTATAGGCCTCTGGGCTCCAGGACCAGCCAGTTCTCAGTGACCATCTGCACATCCTGGCCACTCAGAGGCTCCCGCAGCCTCACTTTCACCTCCAGCTTGCCCCCAGTGGGCTTCCTTCCATCCAGGACCTGTGAGGACCACAGAGGGAGATGATAAGTGAGATGGGCCAGGGGCTGGGAGCAGACCGCTCCCTATGCTCACAGGAAAGAAAGGAGCTCAACTGTCCTTCAGTGTCAACACAAGAGTCTCCATGACAATGCTGCCCTCCTGCTTTTTGGTGGTTTTAGTCTTATAAAACCTGCTTTTTGGTGGTTAAGTCTTATAAAAACTAACATGGAAATCCAAAGAAGTGTCAATGCTCTAAAGAGACAAGAAACCCAGAGCTCTGCCCACTCAGTTTCCTCACAGTTCCTGGAAAAAATGCTCTGGCTTCATGCTATAGCCTGAAAACCACTAAGCCCAAACCCATACTTCACAGATGGCTCAGAAAGTAGTGAATGGTAAGGCTACGAAACCACCGTGTGGCAAGGTCAGGACTAGAACCCAGGCCAAGCGTTCCTTTCCACCCATCACACTGCTCCCTTCCTTCCAAGCAGGAGCCTGGGCTGCTAGAGTACAAAGCAGGACTACAGGCTCAAGAAGTCTGCCTGTAGTTGGGCAAACACAGAGCAGACCTGGCTTAAGAACATCCCCCCACCGGGCCCCCCCAAAACAGGCAGGGAGTGAGGGCAGGCACACTGTAGAGGGAAAAGCCCTGGCCTACAAATGCATCAGCAAGGATCTGGGCTGAGGTCTGCCAGGGACACAATATTTGTGCTTACGGAACACCCTTGTCACTGGACCTTAGTTTCCTCACCTGTCATAGACAAGCTCTCAGAGTCCCTGCCTATGAAATTCACGTAAGTTCATACAAGTTTAAGGAGCTGTCTGGAGCCAATTCCTAAACACAGACTAGCTGCATTCTTGTGGGCCCCCAATCTGGAACTACCTTATCAGCTTTATGTCCAGAGCCTATTCCACTTCTTCATGATGGCTAGACAACTGCTCCACCCACAACTCTGCCCCCAAAACCTAGGAATTTATGTATGCCAAGTTGACAGCAATGATCAGACCCCTCAAGAGCCACCATACCTGGGAGCTTAGGTGACTCAGAGTATTGTGGAAAGAGTATCACTGCTTCTTGTGATGCTATGAAATTTTCTCAGATCCTTTAAATCTCTTCATTTGTGAAACAGGAATAGCACCTAGTCTACAGCGCATTTGTGGATATTTTTTCATTAATGGGCACAAAAAACCTACAGTAGGGAGTGGATGTTCAGTGAATGTGGGGTATTTGCCAAGTCGTCTGGTTTGCCCATCCTACCTCCACAATCTCTCTGATCTCACACTCATTCTCCAGCCGCTCCAGCTTCAGGTGGGCTGTGCCAACCAGCTTGTCACTTCTGAAGAAGGATCTGGGGAACCAAGAATCAGCAGGGTATTGGACTGGGAAAAGCAGGGAAGGCAGGAATGAGCTGGCTGTGCCCAATGCAGGAAGACTGAATAGCAATAGGGGCAGCAACAGAAGCCCTTCCTTCCACCCAGCCCATCTTGGCAATGTACCTGACAAGGGCCTCACCCTTTGTGGAAGATTTCAAACTTGATTCCTTTGCTTTGGATCACCCTCCTGAAGCCCCGGTGGTTTCGGTTGATGTTTAGTTTGAAGAGCTGATCAAATTCTGCAATGGGAGAAGACAAGAAGTGGCGTGGGCTCCCAGGGATTTCCTGGACCCAGAGGTCCAGAGTTGGCCTCCCCTCTCTCTGCCAGCAATTCAAAGGGACTGCATCAGAGGGTGGTAGAGCATCTAGGTCCTGGCCTTGAAAGTCCACTCGGACAATTTTTGTAGTCTTATTAGACACAGATTATACCAAAATGGGATTCAACTCCCATTTCCACCACCTCCTTGCTATGGGGCCCTAGGCAAGTCCCTCTACCTCTCTGAGCCTCAGTTTCCCCAACTACTTTTATCTCCCAAGTTGAGTAAACCAGCTAAGAACAGATCTGAAAGCACTCTGAAAAAAAAAAAATGCTGCACACATATCAGAGAAGAAGAGAGAAGAGAAAGCGGTCCTCACCTGGAGAGTTTGTGTTCTTCACCACAGCTGTTTTGCTTTTTTGAGCCTGGTCCTAGAGCAGTAAGATGGGAGAGGTAAGGGTAGTTTGAAAAAACAGCTGTATAGGGCAAAGAACTCTAGGCTAAATGTTGAGGGAAGTGACTTCCCCCCGTGAAGAATGCATCCAAGGGTCTTTAAACCGCTCCCTGTAGCCAGACCTCCCAGGGAATGCAGAGAAATTGTGCACAGGGTCCTGGATGGAAGATGGGTGCCGGGGGATCCTACCTCTCCCTGAACCTCACCGAGTTAGGGTAGTGGAACTCAAACCGCACAAAAGCATCCAAGTCATCAGGAGTCACTCCTATGAAGGAGAAGTGAGAGTCAGGGTCAGAAGAAGTACCACAGAGCCTAGTGCTTAATATGGAGGATGAGCCAATGCCTCTCTATATTGACCGGGGGTGAAGTGTCTGGGCACCAGTCTGAAGTAAAGGTGGCTCTTGGGCTACCTGAAGGGGCTGGGAGGTTCATTCCCCGGACAATGATCAGATGCATTTCTGTGCTGTTGAGTTCTGAGAAGATCCTACAGCCAAGAAACAAGGAGAAAGCACAAAGTGAAGCAGGTGGTAGGAAAAGGTCCTCTCTTCCAGCGCCTATTTGCCTGCCCAGTGGAGAAGTGGTCAGGAGAGTAAGCCCAGGGAAGCAAAGATTGTCTGGGCTAACGGTGGCAGGGCTGGTATACAGATAGATCTCAGACCTATATGACCTCCAGTCCAGAGTTCCTTCCACAGCCACCACCCAGCTCTGAGCTTCTCACAGGCAGGTAGCTAAGCCCACTCCTCCCAACCCCAGCGCCTATGGCCAGGCCAAGCCTGGGAAGCCTCACTATAGGGGCCTAAGTCTCCAGTCCCTTGTCCTATCCCTGCATGGAGCCACTGTTTCCCTTAGGCTTTGGCACCTCACAGTCTGGAATGTCTTCAACTCAAAGTGGTGGCCGGGAGGGTCAAGGCCCTGAGCCTGGGCCAGCTGCAGGATCTCAAGCTGCTTCTTACGGTCCTGAGCGAGTTTCTCAAACCTGACAGGGATGGGTGGGCATGTCAGCACTGCAGGGCTCACTTTCTCCTTCCCACCCGATAAGCCCCAGCCCGAGGCCTTGCACTTACCGGGTAGTCTCGGCCACATTGCCCTGGTGCATGAACTGCTTGGAGAATAGCAGGCACTTCTAAAAACAAGGGCCCAGAGTGACTGCAGAGCCCACAGTGGAACATCTAGGTTGGCATTTGAAGCCTGACTTCTGAAAGTCCCAACCTTCTTCTGTAGCCTCACCCCTCCTTCTCCCAACACCTACCATATCCAAGGCCACTGTTCCCAAGTTCCATCAGACTCTTCTGCCTAAGTTTTTGTTGTTTCCTTTCCTGAGGATAGCCGTTCCCCAAAATTCACTTAGCAAACTCCTATTTTTCCTTCAAAACCTAATACAAACATCACTTCACAAGCAGACTTAAAGGCAGCAGTTCAGATAGATATACACATACAAAAATATACATCTATATCCATCTCCCTTGAAACTTTCTTCCTCCCATCTATAAAGTACTTTACCCATTGTCACACAACCAGTAAGTGGAAGAGCTAGAATTTGAATCCAGGCCTATTTGATCTGGGCCCCATAACTTTACCCAAAGGATGCTGTGGGCACTGAAAGGGGAAGACAGACCAGCAGTCCACTGACCTCATGTTGCTCCAGAAGCATTTTTTGTAGCTGGGCATATACTTCCTCAGCCTTCTGGGAGAGTCGCAGGTCCTCATGGTGAATGAGGATGAAGTCACCCTCCTCATCCGTCAAGGGTGAAGGGACCTGCTCAGGTCACAAGGCCCCTCAGGGGCCCCAAGAGTCAGATTATTCCTCTACTGAGCCTAACAAATGCAGAAGCAAAACTAAATGTTTCTCCAGTTTCTACTAACCTCCAGTGATGGGAACTCATTGCCTCCCCATTCTATCCCAAGCTTTGCTCTGCTTTCCACTAGCCTTGCCATGCCTCGTCATCTCTGACCACAGGCAGCCCGCCTGGCCTTCCCTGGTCTCTCTTCAGGCAATGGGGTAGAGCAGCATAAGCAACAAGCTCTTTCTGTCTGCATCCTATCTGCATCGCATCCCCTCCAAGCAGCTGCTTCATTCACCGCCCTGCCTGTCAAGGCTGCCAATGCCTCCTCTGCCTGAAAAGTCCAGCTGCTTAAACAAGTGAAACTCACCTTGGAGAAGTCCACAGGTCGGCCAGCTCGTCGTACCTGGGTGATCTGAGCTTCAAGGCATTTGGCTACCCGCAGATGGGCTTTGGCCTGCTCCAGGTCCTGGCTGCGCTTGGCCTGCAGGGCTGCCCGTTGGTATTGCAGTTTCCGTGCCTCTAGCAATGCCAGCTGCTCGCGCACTGAAGGGCAAGGGATAATGGTTAGAATCATGCCTGTCCCTCACTACAGTCTTCACTCTTCCATCCCTCTTCTCCCCAACTCACCAGAGGGACTCAATGATTCCTTAGAACTCGAGGCCTTGGTCTCTGGCAGGGCACGGAATGAAGGGACCACAGGCTGTGCTGGCTTCTTGGCCACTGGGGCCTGGGCTGGGAGCTTATCCTGCATGTTCCCGGGAAGCTGTCACACAGAATCTGTTCCCCACCCAGGCTCTCCTCCTAAGGCTGCATTAACTTACAGGGTTATGTGGACTGAACCAGGGCTCTGGAGTTAGACTTGGTTTGAATCTAGCTCTGCTAACCCCTAGCTGGGTACCCTTGGCTAAGTTTTTTCTCTGTAAAGCAGAAGAAAGCATACCTACCTCCCCGGGCTTGTTAGTATGGATAACAACAGGGTCTGGGTTTACCCCTCATCTGGGGTTTCCCCCCACCAGCCCCTGGAAGTCCCAGGCCCTGAGCCAAACCTCATCCTCATCCTCATTTTCCTCTGCTGGGGCTGTATCCTCCGAGGAAGCCAGTTTCTGGGCAGCTGCTAAAGTAGCTGCCACTACATCCCCATCAGTGCCCACAATGGGCTCCAGGCCAGGAATGGGGGGGAATCCTGTGGAAGAAAAGACAGCTGGAAGAGGATAGGTAGCCTTGGGGAAGCACAGGCTGCTGTGGGCCTTGGCTGGGTCTTCCTGGCCATGGCTGGGAGAGGTGGCTCCCACAGAGTAGAGGCAGATACAGGAGAAATCATTTCCCCTTCCCCCTTTCTTGCTCAGAGACCTCCTCAAAAAGCCCCTAGCCCAAGCCCCACTCACCTGGAGGAACAGGTAACTCAGCAAAGTCAACTCTCCGTCCTGCCCGGTGTGCTCGAATGGCATCTTGATATTGCTGCAAGGGAAGGAAGGGAGAACTTACAGTGGGCTGCAGTCTACAGGCTCCACACAGGGAGAGGAAGACTGAAAGCAGTCCTAGAAGGAAAAAGACCCCAGAGGCAGTAGGAAGTCCAGAAAGAGAGACAGATAGATGGAGACTCAAAGACCAGGACTAACTGCAGCAACAGAAGGCTGACATGGGGCAGGGGTTGTGCAGCTGTGGGCCCACCTTGGCAATGCGCTCATGCATCCGGGCCTTGCGCTCATCCCCACTGCCCCGGGCCTGGATGCCTGCCTCACGGTACTTGTTCAGTCTCTGCTGCAGGGCATCCAGCACTGTCTGTGGCTCAGCAGGGACCACTTGAAAGGATACAGGAGATGGTGTCAGTTCTGCTGCCTCTCTCCAGGTCCCCCACTCCACAGTCCCACCATCCCATCCTACCTGGGGCTGCTGGAGTGTCAGGGGCCATCACTGGCTGCACTCGCTCCACAGCTGGGGGTACAACTGAGGGTTCTGTGAGGGCCTTGGAAGCCTGTGAGAGGGGCTTCAGGTCTGGGGACACAGAGTAGAGGCGTAGATGGGGGTCCCTGGGCAGCCCCAGCCCTGAAATTTCCCCCCAACCTCACCCTGAGCAGGCCCCACCCCACTGGCTCCATACTGACCCTCAGGTGCCGGGGGTATGGCACTCAGGTCCACAGGCTGGCCCTTCTCCAGGGCCTCCAGGACTGCACCAAATCTCTGTAATAGGAAAAGCAGATGTGGGCATAAAACCAGGGTAAACTCTGGGCTGAAACCTCCTCCCCTCCCTCCCTGCCCCCGACCAGACTTACTCCAGGTCACTGTGGCCCCCTATGTGAAACAAAGGCTTGAATACAGGGCCTCTGATTCAGACATCATACCTTCCCAATCCTCATGAGCTCTCGGGCACGGTCTAAGTCTCCAGCCCGCTTGGCATTCAGGGCAGCCAATTTATACTCTCTCTGTCGGGCTGACAACAGGGCCTGTGGGTCTGGGTCTGAATCAGATGGGGCAGAAATGCCAGGACTGCCCAAGAGGCTTGTCTCAGGTTGGCAGGGGTTGTCTATTAAGAAACAAAAAGGCCGAAGACGGGGCATGAGGGTCAAAGAAGGTACATACCATGGGTTCCCTGTGCCTACTGCCTACAGATCTGGTTGGCCTGAGAACCTTTCAGAGAAGGTGCATCTGATGACAATGGACAGTGTGGCAGGATGGGGAGGTGGGCCATGGGCTCTGACTCGAAACTAGGATAGAACCTAAAGGTCTCCAGATACCTGGCTCCATCATGAAGGGAGCTGGGGCATCTGCCTCAGGGTTCCTGTCAGCTGTTTCCTGGGCGGCCAGCTGTTTCTTGCCCAAAGCCACTGGAGGTGGAATCTCATCCTCACTGATCTTCCTGCCTTTCCTCACAGCAGCCAGTTGGGACTCCAGAGTCTGAGAGAGAGAACCCAGAAATCCAGCCAGCCATCTTAGCCTGAACCCTGCTTGAAGACAGGCCAGGAATCCTTCACCTCCACAAGCCAGAGGGGAAGCGCCTCCCCTCTTGTTTCACCCACTGTCCTCTGCCCCACTCCACGCAGCCCTGCTCTCTGGCAAGGCCCAACCCACCTTTAGGCCACGTTCACAGCGCCTGGCTTTGGCTGCTTCACCTGCCTCCTTGGCACTGGCTGCAGCCTCCCGGTAGTTGTGGATCCGATCCTCCAGCAGAGCCTGCAGTCCCTGAGGCCCTCCAGCCTGTAGATACTTCAGTTCAGGGCATGGCCACTCCAGGGCCAGCTAGGCCCCTGCTGCTCCCTCCCTGCAAGGAAGCTGCCCCAGAAAATGGAGCTCTTGGATTCAAGGAGAAGGAAGAGCCTAAAAGCCTCAAGCTACGAGGCAAAGACTCACTGGAGAGGCCAGAGGCCGTGTCAGAGGCAAACACAGAGGCCTGGACAGTCTGTGGAAGCCAGGAAATGGCTGTAGGGGGTGGTTTGGGAGAACAGAGAGGCCTTTGAGGCTGGCCAGCCACCAAGCAGTTTCTCAGGCTTTGTCTCTGCTTGGGGCAGCTGCTGGAGGGCCCTGGGAGGGGTTATTGCAGCCTTCCTATGCAAACCACGCTACATGCATGTTATACACAGACATGTAGGGGCATCAAAGGCACACAAGATCCCTCCAGAACCTACCTGAGCTGCTGGGACTGAAGCTGTTAGTAGAGCTGTCTGTCCTGGAGGTTCAATGTTTTCCTGTCCCTTCTCTTCCTCAGAGCCACCTGGGCTGGCTGTCTTATCACCATCCAGTGGCCCAGCCTCCTCACCTTCACCCAGGACCTCCTGCAGCTCAGTCTGGGGAGACACAAGTCTCAGGAGCTTGGAAGCCTCATGGCCATATACATGATAGGATATAAGAATAAAGGGCCTTTTCCCCACAGCGATATTTCCCAATATCAGTCACTGTGCCTAAAAGTCCTTTTTACCATTAATCTGACCAAGGAGAGCCTTAAAAACAGTAAACACTACAAATCTAAAAATCCCCAAATGCATAGTTCAGACCACACACCAAAGAGGATTAGTCTCACAGTGTAGTTGGGAAAATGGGCCCAAAAAGAGCAAGGCACTCACTCAACCTCAGAACACACGAGACAAACCCCAGGCCTCCTCCACAGGTTTGACCACAGAGCCCTCAGACACAAGCCTGGCAGACGCACCAGCAAGTCTGCATCGTCCTCCAGCCCTTCCTCCTCCTCCTCCTCCTCCTCCACATCCCGCATACAGTCCGCAGCCAACTTCTCGATGTGGGCCATAGGCAGGGGGGCTGAGGGAAGAGGGTTACAGAGGCTCAGGGCAACTCAGAAAAAGTCCATGAGGAGTGTCTTCAATTCACTGTGACAGCAAGACACACCCAGGTAGAAATCTTCCTTCCCTTCCACAGCCAAAGTCCCACCTGGAAAATTCCTGCTCTTCCTTTGTGACCCAGCTCAAAAGACCCTCAGCTGGGAAAGCTTCCTGGCTCCTCCAACAAGCAATAAGCTGTTCCCTTCTTGGCATTTTTGTGTTGTAGTTATTCATAGACATGTCCATCCATTCCCCCCACCACACCTTTCACATATGTAAGATTTTTAACATCCACTGAAGCTTCACAACAATTATGCAAGATAAATAATATGATCTCCATTTTAAAGAGTGAACTGATAATAAAACCAAAGATAATCTTCCTAACAGTGCAATCCTAGTAGGGGGCAGAGCGATGACTCAAACCCAGGCTCATCTAATCATCTACTTACACATTTGACACAATTTCTGTGAATTTATTATGTGCCCAATGCAGTCCATGCTGAGCCCCTCCTCTGTACTGGGCCCTGGCTACATCTAAGACAGGAGACCTGAGTCAGAGAATCAGACTGCTGATTGTCCACAATGGGGAGGGGGGCAGTCAGAGGAGTGAGCTTCCCTTCACACAGGGGAAGATGGCCTCTTGGTGGGAATGCTGCACAAGAATGGATATCAGAAGGACCAGGATATCTAATGGGCTCCTGCCAGTTGTGAGGAGAGAACCTCTCTACCTGCCTGAACCCATCTGGTCCCAGCACTGAGCCAGCCCAATGACACAAACTCACCCTGCCCCTTGGGTGCTGGCTTCTTGTCAGTGACCCCTGCTTCCCCTGTGAGGGCCAGTAGTTCAGCCTCCAGGTCCCCATCATCTTCAGTTTCCTCCATCCCCAGCAGCATGTCCTCTGGGCTGAATTCCACAAAGAGCCCCAGCTGAGAGCAGAGAAGGGTTCTTAGGAACCATACAATGAGGCCCAACCCCAGGGCCAGTCTCAGGCAGTCAGTGACTCCTTCACTGTGTGTGAAGCCCAATGTGCAAATAGGGAAACTGAGGCCTGAAACATTAGCCTTTGGAACAATTATCTCCCTGGTGACTATAAAGAACCCAGTAAGACTACACTGCCATTATTATTACTCACAACATAATAGCACTAGATGCCAGGCACTGTACTTAGCACTCTATATAATTATTTTCATTAATTCTCACAATCCTGAGAAGTAGGTCCTATTTTATTTTAATTGCGGTAAAACATATCTAACATACAAATGATCATCTTAACCATTTTCTTTAAAGCTTTACACCCAACATGGGGCTTGAACTCAGGATCCCGAGATCAAGAGCTACCTGCTCCACTGACTGAGCCAGCCAGGTGCCCCTCACCTTAACCATTTTCAAGCGTACAGTTGAGTGGCATGAAGCCCATTCACACTGTTGGGCTACCATCACCATCATCCATCTACAGAACTCTTTTCATCTTATTAAACAACTCCCCTCTTCCCCCTCCCCCTGTCCATTACCATTCTACTTTCTGTCTCTATGAATTTGACTACTCTAGGAAAAGGTAGTCCTATTTTTATCTCCAAGTTCAGATGAAACTGAGACAGCCTTGTAAGTGGCAGACCTAGAATTTAAAAATAAAGGTCTTATGACTTCAGTGTATGCTCTTTATCCCACAACCTCCCTTACTCGCCTCTTTTAAGACATTAAGAATGGACTAAGAAGTTTCAGGACTTCGACCCAGAAGAAATAAAGGGAGCAGATTAGAGAATAGACTTCTGTCTCCCACCTGGGCCACAGCCCTGTGTCCCTAAGCAGCAAAACTCTCCAGGCACAGTCCTCAAGCCCCGGTATCCTTGGCTAGCAAGCAAAATCATGGCAGTAAATGAGAAACCCATAACAGTGCTGACACCCCATCAGAACACCCTAAATTTGGTGGTTCCTGAATCCTCCAGATCACTCATAGGGAGATGGCCATGGCAGGAGGATGCCTGGGTTGAAACACAAAAGAGTTCAGGCCTCATCTCCACAGGTGGGTGGCAGGGGCTAGTCACAGGGTCTCTGCCAACTGTAGGAGGAACTGCTCAAAGTCTCTGCACTAATGGGGAAGTCAAACAGGTGACCCCGTTTGCCCAAGCTGTCTAGAGACCACCCCCCACCCCCACCCCCAACCTCAGGCCGAGAAGTGAAGGAGGCTGTGTGTGTCCATACCTGCTTTGCAGCTGCCACACCCTGACCACTGGCCTGAGGGCCTTTCCGAGGTCTTGGCCCTGGCATCTCGACAGCCTAGACACCTGTCTGGTGGGGAGAGGAAGAGACTCAGACTGGAGCAGCCTATAAGCCCCACCTCCAATACTGCAACCTTGTGGTAAGGTGTGGTTATAGTAAACTCCCAGAGAAAAAAAAGCAATGTTTAACACCAAAGGATGAAATACTAACTCTGGAATCATAGCAATGAAGCAAGCAATATGGGAGACGGAAGGGATGGGACCCACCTATTAATGGGTTTAAGCGGGGACTGTGGACACACAATAAAACTTACTGAACTGATTGACCAATTTGGATTAAACCCAAGAGGTTGAGTGAGGGGGAGTGGCATAGGAAAGTAGATTCAGGAACAGGGCTGGTACAGGCTGGGTGGGATTCCAAAAGGCTCTAAAACTGTGCCAAACATGGTAGCCATCTATGGCTTTTAACTTTAAATTAATTAAAATTTAAAGTCCAGTTCCTCAGCTGGTGGCTACCACTGGCCAGCACAAACACTGAACATTTTCATCACCACACAAAGTCTAATAGACATTCTGCTCTAGAGAAATCTGACTCAGCATTCTGATTCAGAGATCTCACAACCTTTCACAGGAGTATGTGAAAATCTGTGCTGGGCACTGGGAGAGCAGGAATGAATCTGACATGTCTCAACCCTCAAAGAACATTTACATGGTGGGGACAGCCTCTTCAGTGGACAAAAACCGCACAGGGTAGCTCCAGGGAACCGGGATCCCCAGCAGTGGCCAATTATCCAGCACAGACAGAAAAGGCATCTTAGAGAAAGTGATGCTTGTGCTGCGTCATGAAAAAGTTGGAGGTAAGGAAGGGGTATGGAATTCCAAAAAGAGGGAACAACCTGACAGTGGTTCTAAGGTGAGAAACAGTGTGGTCTCCACAAGAAAGCTAAAGACCTGGGATTACTGGGGCATAAAGTGTGAGACAAGAAATGGTACAAGCGAAGCTTGTAATCTCTACAGGGGGCAAAACAGAAAAACCTTTAAGCCTAAAGGACGTTTGGCATTATCCTGAGGGCAGTGGACGTGAAGGGACCAGGTCAACGACTCAGAAACTCGCTGGCGAAAGAGGGGAAGGGGTAGGAGGAGAATGGAGGCTGGAAGCCTTCTCGGTACAGAACATCTCGCAACGTTCCCGCAAAAGAGGTGAGCAAAGGGAGCACGGGAGACAGAGAAGCGGATGGATTCCACCGTCAGAGAGTAAAATCTACAGCGCTCCGAGGTTAACTGGATGTGGGCGCACGGGATGGGGCGCTCAGGGTAACTCCAAGCGTCAGAGTTCACGGACTTAAATGAATGGCGGGCCGTCACCTGAGCGGGGGGCACGGAGCGAGCGAACTTGGGGAAGAGACGAGGTCAGTCAGACATGCCGAGTCTGCGGCTCCGGGGCAACGGGTAGGGCCGTCGGTGTTGGGCCCAGATTCTGGAGAGAAGCGGATAGCGGAAGCCGCAGGGGAGGCGAAGCCGAGGGACCCCACTCCGGAGCGGCAGGACGCGCAGCCCTGCCCGGCCCCAGGCCTCCATCTCCCCCGCTGCCCGGTATCTCCCCTCGCCGAGGGGCAGGTACGCTGCATACCTCGCGGCGGATCCAAAACCTGCCCGGGCCTTATCCACCCGGCTTCGCCTAGGGCTCCCGCGGCCCCCGGGCGGCCGCAGTGGCAGCGGGTACAGCTGCTGCCGTGACAGGAAGCGACTCTGCGGGAGACTGCTCGCGCCCTCACACGTGACTCCGCGGCCCGTAAGGCGCGCACTACGCATGCGCAATACGAGGTGGGCGTGACGAACCAACAGGTGACTCCAAGGGCGAGGTTTTCCAACGCGCAGGCGCCTTTGGCAGGTAGGGCGAGGCTTGCGGAGAGGGTCGTTGGTTGGTGTTGGGTTGTAGCGCTGAGGGCGCAAATGCAGTAGGTTCGTCCTCTGCCTTTTGTATTTACAAGTTCCTCGCTATGCTTCCTCCCCTACTCCCAGTATGAAGCCCCTGGGCGCACTCTCCAGACCTACATGGCCTCACGCTCTCGCCCCGCCCCACTCTGAATGGAGGCGGGGCTTGTTTGCCACCCTCGTCAGTGTTGTCTTTGTAAATGAGTCTAGAGAAATAGAAATGGGGCTCACCATTTGTTTCCTAATCATTCAGCAACTGAATGTACCTTTTCCAGTCAGAAGGCGGGTTGAACACCTAAGATAAGACTGGCAGTGTTCATTGAACCTCTTCATGAAGTCGCTTCAGTTTAAAACCGAGATAACGCCTATAACCAGCAGGGCGATGAAATGGCGGGTGGATGGGGCGTTAAAGAGAATCTTCATCTTAAAATCTTGCAACGCGCACCTGCCTAAATTCCAAACTTTTAAGCTATTACTGTTTTGCGGTTTGTAGTTAGAGGTTTAAAAAATCTCCCAGTTTTTTTTGGACAAAGGGCTTTTCCATCTCCTTACTGCTTTTGGGTGATTTTCCAAGGAGACCGTCTTTACCACTTTAAAAATTGAAGTTTCACTCCCATATTTCTTCTCATTAAACGTTTTATAGTGAAATATTTAATATATACACAGATCTACAATATTTGCTTGAATGCAAGCTCCATAAAAACATAAAATTCTCCCACGTTCTCTCCGGTGCCTAGAGCAGTGCATGCATGGACATGGTAGGTACTCAAAATAAATAGTTCCTATTTTTTGTGTGAATTGACATAAATACGAGGGTGCCTACCACAGTTTAAGAAAAAACCCAGTACAATAGAGTGGAAAGCTGAGCTGTCAGCACAGAGCCCGCGGTAGGCCTGGAATCCATAAACTGTGAGCTCATGACCTGAGCCAAAGTCTGACCTTAACTGACTGAGCCACCCAGGTACCCCTACAATGAACATTCTTGTACACAACTCCTGGGGTACACATGTTTTTTAGGGTAGGAGTGGGATCGCTGGCTCATAGGATTTCTGCATTTTCCAGATTAGATATTACCGAATTATGTCCAACGTAGTTTCAATTTATATTCCCATCAGTGGGGCGTTTGGGTTCCAGTTGTTGCCTTATTGTCATGGAAACCTTCTCTAATACACGTGGAAATGTTTTGGCTTGCAAGTCTCATTTACTATGTTGCCATTTTGTTGGTCATTCAGTTTTCTTTGTAGATGACTCATTTTTCCTTTTTATTATGTAATTCTTCATTCTGATACGGATCCTCCTTTATATGCAGTTATAAATATATGTGCATATTTTTTTCTTAATTGAGATTTGCAGATATTGTATTTCACTCATAAATATTTCATCATAATTCTAAGAACAAGGGCATTCTCCTACATAACTACGGTATTTTCCACTCACAAAGTTTCACATTTACATAATACTTACATAATATATAGTCCATAGTTTTGTTTATAATTGTATCTCTTAAGTCCAGACCCAATCAAGTTTCACACAGTACATTTAGCCATGTCTCATTTCCCTATTCTCCCATGGTTTTTTGGTCTTTTGTGATACTATTTTTGAAGAGGAACAGTTGCTTTGTGTAATATTTTCCCCCAATTTTGATTTATCTGATAATTTTCTCATCAGCAGATTTGGGTCAAACACTCCTGGCATGATTATTACATCATAAGGAGGTTTTAGATGTCTGTTCCACTGTTGGCTGGAAATATAAATATGAGAATTGCAAAGTAACACAAAAAACCCTGCCAAGATTTTGACTGCAATAGATCTGTATTTAGAGATTAATTACATCTCTTTATTACATATATTTCTTGATACCTTATATTTTGTGCCTTCTAAGTTTATTTAAATATTTGTTTTTATGATAACTTTTAAAAATTATATTTTCTAGCTATTTGTTGGTATGGATTATTTGTCACTGGTATTATTTCCAGCAGTTCTTTTTTATAAACTAAGTTTGTTATATTTACATTGTTAAAAAGATACATGACATACAGTAAGTCTTCCTCTAATCCCTGACCATAGCCATCTAGTTCTTGTCCAGAGGGAACCAATGTAACCAATTTCTTACATATTCTTCCACAACTATTTTATACAGATACATATAATTGTGTATATACCACCTTACCATTAAGTAAATGGCAGGGCCACTAACAAATAAAAATCACAAGGAGGGCTTATAGTAGGAAGGATGGTTTGGTTTTATAATCTGATGTTTGTAATGTCTGCAAACTTCTCAAACGCTCTAGAAAAAGCAAATTATTTAATGGAAAATTCCAAAATACATGACAGCCATTTCCATTCAGTATACTTTGCTACAATTTGATGTGCTTAGAAAAAGGAAATCAAGCTCTTTGAAAACATCTGATCACAGTCCTTCCTTGTGAAGCTCTTCACTCCTTCAGCGCGTACAGCACATCATCCTGGCTGACATTGAGCCGCACACGAAGGAGCAGGTCATTCCTGCTGGACTCCACAAGGAGAAGGCGACAAGAGCCTAGATGAGAGCACACTGCCATTGTCTCTGACATGGTAGGGTACGGAAGTCCCTCCATTCTGCACAGTGCCACGTGTTGACTGTATACCTAGAAACAAAAAGCAAATCTGAGGTCAAATGCCAGAAAGTTTAAGAGGAAAGGTAGTCCTGATTCTGTACCTGATCATTTATCTCTTCTTTTAGGAAAGTCAGACACTTCTTGTCCAGGATACTCAATACCCTGAAAGCATCAACAGGTGCCCCAATGGGGCACAAATGCAGGGGCAGAATGCTATTCTGGCTTTGGAATCAGAGCAGGTCTGAATCCTGGTTCTACCATTCACCTAAATATGCAACCCTGGGCAAGTGATTTCACTTTTTGAGCTTCAGTTTTATCTATTAAATATACTGCCACATCCCTCATGTGTTAATGGATATAAAATATCTAGTAATTGTCACTCATACAAACAATCCTAGTCTCCAGGGAGAATTGAGAGTTCCAATTGAGATTTTCATAATTCAGGTTAAATTTTACTACAAGGGTATTTTCCTTAGCAGATAATAGCACACAGGTACTAAAGCACGACCTCTGGAAAAGCAGAAAGGCCCAGGAAGAATGCTGCACAAGACAGGCAGGAAGATAATGGGAAACAGATTCCTAAAGCGCCCCAGTGTGTCAGGCAAGTCTGAAGCACTTCCTGGTCACTCTTATTCTATTTATAAATCACCCCAACCCCCACTCCCATCCAGGCTGGGAGCTTCTCAGGAGCCAGGGATATTGACCAATTCAGCTCAGGGTTCCTGGATCACATCACAGGATTGACACACTGCAGATGTTCAGGAAATGTTTACAAACTGAAGTGAAGGCTGCTTTCTACAGAAGAGCTGTCTCAGGCCCTAGAAGAACAATAATGGGCAAACATAACCAACACCTAAATGTTTAAAACAGAATTTAAAGAAAACGTGAAAGGAAGTAAAGAAATAGCTGGAAGGAAAATGTTTTCCTGACCTCTCCATTTGTATGTCTAAAACATAGTGACACACACACACAAACATATACACTCCCAGGTATACACTCAAACACCTTCAATAATATTTTAAGGCAGCTCATTACCTATGGACACTAGTTTTCAACAGAACTCTAAGGTACATGCCCTAGTGATTCCTTTTACTTGATACACCTGAAACTATGCTCAAAGGAGGTCTGGATTGGTCTAATTTGTTTTTAAAATGGGTCATTCTGGGGAGGCCTGGGTGGCTCAGTCCGTTAAGTGTCAGACTCTTGATTTTGGGCTCAGGTCATGATCTCATGGTTCATGAGATAGAGCACCATATGGGGCTCTGGAAAATGGAATTTTCCATTAAATTAAGATTCTCTCTCTCTCCCTCTCTCTACCCCTCCTCTGCTCATATTCATTGGCCCCCTCGCCCTCTCTCTCTAGCACATAAATAAATTAAAATTAAAGAAAAAAATGGGTCATTCTGAGAGCCTTATCCCCACCACACAAGCTTTATTAGGGCAATATCTCTTGTTCCTACTCATCTTTAAATCTCTTACTCCTAAAACAGTATCTGGCACATAGTACTCCTTCAATCTAATATGCAGAAACCAGTTGCTAAAGGTCTCTTCTCATACAACTAAATAAAAATATCACATAAAAATAGGTGTTGGTCTGATATTCTGTAACATAACAGGTTGGCACAAATAAAGACTAACTGTTACACAGTGATTGAAATTCCCACCCATTTAAGAAACACCAAAACCAAAATCTAGAAGGATTTGGAAAAAAAAAAAAAAAAAAAAAATCACTTACCTGTTGAAATGTTGCTTCTTCTAGTCCTGATCGGCGGAACTCAGCAAGTATGGCTCTCAGGAAACTCTGTTCCAGAACAGAGGAGTTTCTCAAAGAAAATGAGATGTGAATTCTCATAAATGGCTATACCACCAGCCCAGAGAAAAGTAAAATATTAAGTTTTTCTGTCTTTAGAGAAAAGAGAAGAAAAAACTGGGAAATACTTTCTCCTATATTATTCAGCAAGTTTTCTCCTACCCCCTAAAGTTTCAAGATGATATAGAAAATGCCACTTCGGAAGCCAGGCAACACAGCAACTGTATCTGGAAATATACCAGCACACTCATTTCATGAGTAGAGTGTATCATTCAGTGTAAGAGAACTAGTCCAACAGCATTTTACTTCACTCAGTAAGTGGTCACAGTTCTCCTCCTGTACGAAGTTTGCATTTCTTTATTTTTTCTTTTATTTATTTATTTTTTTAACGTTTATTTATTTTTGAGACAGAGAGAGACAGAGCATGAACGGGGGAGGGTCAGAGAGAGGGAGACACAGAATCTGAAACAGGCTCCAGGCTCTGAGCTGTCCTGATGCGGGGCTTGAACTCATGGACCGCAAGATCATGACCTGAGCTGAAGTTGGCCGCCCAACCGACTGAGTCACCCAGGCGCCCCTCTTTTATTTTTTTAAAAGTTTTATTTACGTAATCTCTACATCCCATGTGGGGCTTGATCTCACCTCAAGATCAACAGTCACACATTCTTCTGACTGAGTCAGCCAGGTGCCCCAGATTTGCATTTCTATTTCTCTGTAGACTATGCCCCTTAAGAAAAGGATAGTGTCTGGGGCACCTGGGTGGCTCAGTCAGTTGATCGTCTGACTCTTTATCTCAGCTCAGGTCTTGATCTCAGGGTCGTGAGTTCAAGCCCCATGCTGGGCCGTGCACTGGGTGTGAAGCCTACTTAAAGAAAGAAAGAAGTGGGGGAGGGAGGGAAAAGGACAGTGTCTTCAGTAAATGCAGTTCTGAATGAGTAAAAGCTTAGAAACTTCTATGGCCTTCCTAGAATGTGGACCTCTCCAGAGGTTTTCCAAGGAAGGTCCAGGGTCAGGAAGCAAAAGAATCTTACTTTTTAAAACACTGAATACATTTTGACATATAACATTATGTACTTTTAGGATTTACAAATGTGTTACTCTGAAACATTTGTATATTGTAATATAATTGCCTTTACAGCTATACTTACCAAGTTACATAATCATAGTACAATATTGTTATCCACATCCATTAGAAGCAACTTACTTGATGGCAGTGATATATGATGACGAAAACATCTCATCTACTGCTTGCAGCAAGTGGGCTACAGTGACCAGGCCAGGGGAGTCGGGCTTCTGGCAGGAGAACTCACAGATCTCTGTGGCACGCCTACAAATGTCCAGGCAGCGTCGTGCATCTCCAGAAAGGGCTGCTACCTACAAGAGGGAATATTTTATTCCTTGAGGTCCCTTTACCATCTCAGCCCAGGGGAAAAACCAACAGGTTCTGTGTTCAGCTAAAAAGGAAAGGCAGTGCTGGGAATGGGCTTAAGCCTGATGTTATGTACTTAGACCCAGTAGGAACCTGGTGGAAGCCCGGGTATAAATTACTAAAATGTACCTGGGGCTCTTCCTTTAGTCCAAACCTTTATTTTGGGTTTACAGATAAATCCATAATGGAAAGGGCAGGGATTCTCAGCTTTATTTAAAATTTGGGGGGCGCCTGGGTGGCGCAGTCGGTTAAGCGTCCGGCTTCAGCCAGGTCACGATCTCGCGGTCCGTGAGTTCGAGCCCCGCGTCGGGCTCTGGGCGGATGGCTCGGAGCCTGGAGCCTGTTTCCGATTCTGGGTCTCCCTCTCTCTCTGCCCCTCCCCTGTTCATGCTCTGTCTCTCTCTGTCCCAAAAAAAAATAAAAACGTTGAAAAAAAAATTTTTAAAAAAAAAATTTGGGATATGGGGGCGCCTGGGTGGCTCAGTCTGTTGAACGTCCAACTTCAGCTCAGGTCATGATCTCCTGGTTGGTGAGTTCCAGCCCTATGTTGGGACTCTGTCTCCTCTCACTCTGCCCCTTCCCCACTCATGTGGCACATGCACACGTGCTCTCGCTCTCAAAAAAGTAAATAAATAAGACTTAAAAAAAAAAAAAAAAAGAGGGAAGGGAGCCACAAAGCTGAAGGACACAGAGGATTCTGTGGTTAGATGAATCAGACCAACCCACAATGCCAACAACTCCGCTGTTGCTCCTTTCTTTCCACATGCAGATTCCCTTCACAGGGAATCCTGTACTCTGCCAAACTGACTCAGAAAGCCACTTGCACTTTAAATTTCACAGAGGGAATTCCTGGACTCTGCAGCCTGCAAGGATCTCAGTATTCCAATATCGGCCAGCAATCCCCACCACTTGCCCAACAACAATCACAGGTAACGATGTCCTGCCTGACAACATCCTGAAATGATTACTTCCTTCCAAAATTCCATGTTAAGTTTAAAACAGCAAATTGTATAGGCATATAAATACACAACACACCAAGATTAAAAGCAGTCACTTGAGGGAAGTGAGATTATAGGAGTCTTTAAATGTTTTGTGTATATTAGTTTCCAGAATGCAAATTTAAGACATTCTAAAGGTCACTCTTCTAGTAACCCAAGACAAGAACAGGAGTATCAGTTTATATTCTTCCTTTCTCTAATTTCCCATTTAGTTGGTAAAGATGTCCCATGGATGTTTCCACCTATCACTTCTTCCCTCCAATCAGCATTCCCACTGCCTTGTGAAGCAGCACCGTGTAGTGGCTTGTAACATGGACTCAAGAGCTACCTCAAAGAACAAAGAACAAAGTGAACAGGTGACCCTGGAAAGCAAGAAAACACCCAAAGCAGTTCTTGCCCAGTTCTTATCCACAAACTTTGATGACCATAAATCCCCCTTTTTAACTGCTCTGGGGTGCAGGAGACGAAAGAAAAGCTAGGGCCCATCCAACATGGAATCTAACAGAAGACCCTGTATAAACTTGGGCTGTGACCTCCAATACAGCCTCAGCTTGAGGGTGAATGAAAGACCCATCATGCAAGAGATGGCAAGAAAAATGGCCTGTTTAGACCTTGGTGCTAGGTAGGTGTAAAAACCAACCTATAACTACAAGCCTTCCCATGGATTTGAAGCCCAAATTTCTGTTGTGTCTCCTAAAAACCTCAAGTGGAGAATTTTGTTTAAAAACGGTCCCAGTTGATAGTGGCCCTTGGTAACTGACAGAAGGAAAAACAAAACAAATTCTAAATGAACTAATTTCAACCCAGTCCTCAATTCTTAGAGAAAGCCCTAAGGAACATGAGCATACAATAGAAAAAAACAAAACAACAACAAAAAAAAAAAAAAAAAAAAAAAAAAAAAAAAAAAAAAAAAAAAAAAAAAAATTCAAGACCCAGAAATAAGGAAACAAGGGCACATATGCAGGGAAACAGTAATCAATAGGATTAGATCCACAAAGACTCAGGTAAGATACAGAACATAAGATACATTTGTTTCTTTATGTGTAAAGAAATGGAAGAGAGGTTTGAAATGACAGGCAAGAGTTTTGAGTAAAAAAAGCATCTAAATTCGATGCCTTGTGAAACCAAGAACCCTAAAAGGATGGGAAGCAACAGGGGGAATAGTGGCTTACAGAATAGCCAATTCTGTAAGTTGGCAGAGTAGTGGTTGACTCTGCAGACCAGAGAAAGCCAATTCCTAAGCCAGTATTAAGGAATCCAAGAACGAATCGAAGTTACACTATATATCTTCAAAATGCTCAGACAACAGTGATACTGGAACTGGAGGTAAAGGGGGATGTTTGGCTAAAATAAGGAGGACTGGTTGAAAGTTAAGAAATTGATGCCCTAGGGGCGCCTGGGTGGCGCAGTCGGTTAAGCGTCCGACTTCAGCCAGGTCACGATCTCGCGGTCCGTGAGTTCGAGCCCCGCGTCGGGCTCTGGGCTGATGGCTCAGAGCCTGGAGCCTGTTTCAGATTCTGTGTCTCCCTCTCTCTCTGCCCCTCCCCCGTTCATGCTCTGTCTCTCTCTGTCCCAAAAATAAATAAAAACGTTGAAAAAAAGAAATTGATGCCCTAGATTAGGAATCAGCAAACTACAGCTTGCCATACATTTTTGTACATTTAAAAAGTTTTATTGGAACACAACTGTGAGTATTCATTTAATATACTGTGCATGGCTGCATTCAAGATGAAAGGGCAGAGGTGAATAGTGGTGACAGAGACTATTATAAAAAAAGCCTACATTTCCTTCCTGGCCTTTCACAGAAAAAGTTTGCTGACCCTTGCCCTAGATCCCTCCCCCATTTCATGCTGCTGGGTAAACATTAGGGCCACTGAGGAAGTTTTAGGGCTCTGTAGGAAAATTTTGTGCCTTGGTAATTTGTACTGTTTCCATAAAACTCTTTGCCTGGGAGATTATCCCTCTTCTGCCATGGCATGAGTTCAGAGATTTATTCTCAAATAAAGATAAAAAGTCTCTGAACCAGGGAACACTAGGTATTATTGCAGGGGAGGGGATGTCCCTCACTATATATAAATGGTTACTGTTTGCATGCTGGATTTGAAGACCTCTACCCTCTCTGACTCCAGCCTACCTCCCTCACTCCCAGAATACTGCCCTCCAGGCAGGACCTGGGACACCCAGTCTGGGAAATCTGCCTATCCTAATGGGAAACAACTGGAGATACTGAAATTGGCCCAATCAGATTACCCCACAGTGAAGCTCCCAGAGAACAAGCCCCACTCATGTGCTCAGCGCTACCAAAAGCTTTTTAATCTTTACTCATACACCAGAGTGGACAACCAAGACATCTGAGGAAAGTCTCCAACCATGCAGGACAGAGACTAAATTCAAAAGACAAAAGCATCTTGGAGGAAAAGTGAGAAGACAACCTCAAATAAACAGAACAGCATAAGAAAAAAGGACCCTTCGGAGAGAGAGAGAGAGAAAAAAAAAGAACTTTTAGAAAGTGCATGATAGCAAAAGTGAAAAACTACCTAACAGAAAGGTTAGATGGTAACTTTGAGAATCTTGCTCCTGGAAAGCAAACCTTAGAGACAAGCATCGTATCTGGCTTGCCTCTGACCCCAGCACCCAGCTCTGAGCTGGCATTACATGTGCTGCTATAGGCACTGAGAATTCAGATCATTTCAACCAAGAAGAACCAGAAAAAAGTTTGTATTTCTTTTAAGTGCTGAAATGCTGTGGATGTGTGGTTTCTTGCACTTAGCTTGAAGCAGACATTTAAACTACTTTATTCCTCAGCAGCCTTGGAGAATAGTCTTGGTTGGCATTCTCCCAGTGAGCTTGGAGGATGTGCATGTCCAATACCTTGCACCTATCCTGGAGTGTGCACCTTACTAGGCACATTACAGACATGATCTCATTTAATTCCCTATTATTATTATTCCCATTTATTTACTTATTATTTCCTATTATTATTTCCATTTTTTCAAAGAAAACTAAGGCTCAGGAAGTTTTTAAGTAACTTTCATATAACCTTCCAATGCCTATTAAGTATTAGAGCCAGAACTTAAACCAGGTTTGCTACCTGACTGCCTATATAACCCTTTTCATTATACAAAGCTGCCTGTTACCTGAATCAATTAATCTTCGTTTGTATATAAGCCCACCACACTCACAGCCTGCTAATTAATTATACAATAAGAAGGTTAAGGAATTGCTCCCAATTTTGTTTCTACTTTTGGTATTTATTTTTATAGGACTTTCTAAATTTCTCTTCATCTTCAGAGCACCTAACACAAGGCAGGTGCTCGGCAAAGACTTGCCGCCTGGTTTGTAGGTGCAAGTAGGAGCTCCCTGAAAGTGACTTACCTTCCTAGCTACCAGTTGGATGGCATCATCCTCAAAGGCCTTTACATGTTTGAGTCGGGATATTAGGATCTGCTGCAGTTGGCTGTGAGTATAGGGCTGGAAGGACATCCTGGTAAGACCCTGGGGAAGACAAGATAATAGACGAATAAGTTCATTAATTGCCCACTCTGACAGTCCTGCTGGACAGCCACCCTCAAGTTCCCAAACTAGTTCCCAAGTCCCATAGAACACGTGACACATTTCATCCTGGGACCGCCACAGATTCCAGTTCCTTTCACTACTGACAATGGCCAGTGGTATCCTGCAGGGCAACAGTAGTTCTCAAGTATTTTTTCATCTTGTTTAAAACAACTTTTATTGTACCAGAATCATTATTTATTTTATTTGAGAGAGATAGAGCATGAGTGGGGTAGGGACAGAGAGAGACGGAAAGAGACAATCCCAAGCAGGCTCTGCACGGCCAGCACAGAGCCTGATGCGGGGCTCAAACTCACAAAACCGTGAGATCATGACCTCAGCCAAAACCAAGAGTCAGACACTTAACCGACTGAGCCGCCCAGGCAACCCTCTACCAGAATCATTTAGAAGTAGATGAAGGAAGAGGTGCTCTAATTACAGTGGTTGTGACCATCTTGGGCTCTACAATAAGCACAGGCACAGCTCCTGGCTTCACTCATCACCCCTGTAAGTACTTGATATTGTGCTTCCTGATGAACCACCAGGTCTGTGAGGGCAGAGGCTGTGTCTGCCTTGTTCACTGCTATGCTCCATGCTTGAACACTGCCTGGCAGGGGTGAGTGCTTATATGTGTATATACATACATATATGTACACACACACACACACACACACACACACACACACACGTGTGTATATATATAGTTTTTATTTGAGAGAGAGAGTGCATGAGTGGAAGAGGGGCAGAGAGAGAGAATCTCAAGCAGGCTCCACACTCAGCATGGAGCCTGACGTGGGGCTCGATCCCACGACCTTGGGATCATGACCTGAGCCAAAATCAAGAGCTGGATGCTTAACCAGCTGAGCCACCCAGGCACCCTGAGTGCTTCAATATTTTTAATAAATTATTAGACCCTTAGGGCTCTGTGCAGTTTAAAAGTGCCCAGGTAGAATACCAAGAAGATGGGGTTTGCGGAAAATCATGCAATGATGACATATTTAATTTAAATGTAAGAATTTCAGAAATCACATTTTGTACTTTTCTCATTTACTTTAGTTTTCTGTGTATTCATTTTTTAGAACTCAGCTTATGGATCTGTAAGAACAGCTTGAGAACAGCCTTAGGACCTACCAGTCGGCTTGATACCCGGTTCATCATGATGCGCTCTGGCAGATCCATTGTGTTGGCAATGGTCAGGACCACAAGCTGGGCCTCCTTGTGAGTGGGCCAGTCAAAGAGATTGTACATTATGTCTTGTTTCTGAGTCCATAGAAGGTCGAGCTGCCAGTAAATGGAGAGAGATGTCAAGATCAAGCATAGACACAGGGCCAGGGCCCAGAGGGAAGCTCTGTTACTCCTGCTTTAGCTGCATGTGCTTCTAGGGTCACACCACGAAAGCAGCAAGGAAGTCCGTGGATACATGCCTCTCACCACCAAAGAACAGGCTCAGATGAATGAAGGATGAAAGAAGGGAGGCAGGACTCCCCCCACAACCCAGCATTTGCCCCTGGAACACCACAGTCAAGTACCATGCCACTTTTGCGGTGCTCCCGTGGGGACCTCCGTACCTCATCCACGAGCAGCACGGTGGTTTCCTGAGAGGACCTTTGGGTGAGGAATCGCTTTGCCAGCAGTTCTGCCGCATGGTTAGCTGTTGCCTTTTGGCCTGTCAGCTTCTGCAATGGGGGGAAAAGTAGGTGTGGTAAATGGTAAGGATTTTACTCCCCTGAGCTTGATGTTAAATTTGCAATCAAGTCTGGAAGCAATTTAGTCTGAGGACTTTAGTATCCTAAACTCTGCCTTCCAGTCTAGTCTCAACCTTAACCTGGAGGGACGAGAAGGTACCAAAAGAGATGACAGAGTCCGTGTTTGGAATGCAAATGAGCCACAGGCTGGTCCCAGAAGCCTCTTCAAAATCATTACGGCATGACTGTTTATACCTGGATATTACTTGTTCCAAGAAAACAACTAATGAATACGAGAGTGAGGTTCAAACTCCAGCTACCTCTAATCCCTTTTCTAGTCTGCCACAGTACCTCCTGTGTGCAAACAGTTTTTGCCATATTAATAAGTCCTGGCTTGCAGTAATTCATGTCCAGCCCCTAGACTTTAAGGTCCCTGATGTCCCTGCCTTCTTTGCCCATGCCACCTCATACAAAGGACAACACCTGGCACATCATAAACATAGAAATAAGCACAAAATTAAGTAAACCTTTCCTTTTTCATGTGCCACTAAGAAACTGTACTTTCCAAAAAACCCAAACAGCTTTACTCACCTGCAAGATTTGCACATAGACTTGGTGGGGTTCTGTCAGCTTCATGCCATTGACCTCGATGTAATGAAAGGAAGGAACGTCATTTGCTTGGGCTGCCTGCTGCAGGCAGCGTATCACCTCGTGCACAGTGGCAGTCTTCCCTGTCCCAGGGACCCCGGAGATGTACATGCACCTATGGCAAGAAAGGAGGACCTGTGGGCTAGGTCTGTGCCAGCTGCCTCACACTATTGCCAGTTAGAGGTATGAGGACATGTGCTGAGGGAAGGACCCAGACCCCTAAAATGTGGAGATGGGGTCAATAAGGGCCATCCTTGGAAGCTAGTCAGAACAGGACCTGGTTATACAGAATCATTCATTCTACAAGCAATGCTGTATTTTCATTTTCTCTGAAAGACAGAATTTCTATTCCTATCGAATTACGTGGACAACAAAAGCTGCTTTAGAAACCTTAAGTTTGAGCAACGATTTTGATTTTGCCTGTTGTGACACTGGGGAGAGACCATTTGGTTGACTGTGCCACCTGAGATGGTATATGCTAGCAGGGGCCTTCCCCCTGACCGTCTTATCTGCCTCAGCAGGACTCACCCTCCCGTATGGTCAAGGAGTCTGCTCTCCACAAAGTTGTAGATGTTTTGGAATTCCTGTTCCCGACAGGGAAGAGTCTCAGGTACAGCAGAAACATGCAGCCTATAATTGGTGATAAATAAAGGAAAAGGAGGACTTCAGCAATATGTCACCATATACTCAGTAACAAATGGGAAAGGATTATCTATAGTTTCCACATGAAACCCCAATCACAAATCCATGGGAATGCCTTCATTCTCAAATCTCTTCATTTCGCCTCATAATCCCTTTCTCCACCCAAATTAGCTAATTCATAGTTTCTCACTATGGGTACATATCACATGGGGAGCTTTCCCCAAATCATAGGGATGGACCTCATCCCACAAGAGATTCTGATTTACTTGTTTTCTGATGATCTAGGCTTATGTATTTTGAAAAGTTCCCTGCATAGTTCTAAAGGGTACCAAAACTGAGAAGCAGTGTTCTGACTCATCAGTCACCTTTTATCCCTGAGCAAGTGGTGGCAGTAGACTGGAAGGTTACTCTTTCAAGAACCTGTCCACATTAGCTCACCCAGACTTGAAGGGTTTCTTCTCTCTAAAACACACATGTTCATTTTATTCCCTACCTTTATTATGTACACAAATGACTACAAATTACTTGTTTTTCTAAAAAAAATTTTTTTTTCAGTTTTATTTATTTAGTTTGAGGAAGACAGAGACAGTGCGAGTGGTGGAGGGGCAGAGAGAAAGAGAGACAGAATCCCAGGCAGGCTCTGCACTACTAGTGCAGAGCCTGATGCAGGGCTCGAACCCAGGAAACCGTGAGATCACGACCTAAGTCAAAACCAAGAATTGGACGCTTACCTGACTGAGCCACCCAGGCACCCCACAAATTATTTGTTTTATGTGAATGAAAGCAGAGTCCCATTTCTGCCTATCTAAAAGGGGCCCACGAGCAGTGTCACCTCAGCCGGGCCTCCTCCAGTACGCTGGCTGGCTCCTGGGCAGCCAGGTTTCGGCTACGGATCTGGGGAGTGGCATGACGTGGCGTACTAGGCTTGGGCTGTATTCAAAAAAAAAGATAACATATTTTAGAAGGAAAAAAAACAAAGCAAAACAGCATCTAGGACACATCAGCAAATCTGATTCCTGATGATCTGATAAAAAGAGAGGTGGTGAATTCCTCTTGGTTCCCTTCTGTATAAAGTACCATGGTTGTCCCTCTCTCCACATGGTATATACACTGTTCACAGGCCAAATACAATTTCTTGTTTCTAATTTACACATAGTATTAGGATTTGAAAATGTCAATCTAAGTGAAGACTGAATGAAAGTATGGATTAAATACTATTTAAAGTATGGACTAAATACTATTAAAATCTTATCCTGAAAGACAAGAAGTTATTAAGAAACCCTAACTACTCTGCCCAATACAGGGTAGGGTCGGAGGTATAAACCAAGTTTGACTCATAGGCTTCTCCTCTAGATTTGGTTGAAAATTTGGTCAAACTTTAGCTCAGGACTTCCATAATCCACAGACTTGGAGAGACCCCACCAGATTTTTCCACTCCAAACCCCAAGGTCACGGTTCAGTCTGAGCTAACAGCCCTAGTCTCTTTTCTTTCTTGCTACTGGCTCACTAGAGCAGGCCTGCCACCCCATCTTTATGGTCTTTCCACAAAGCACTCCCTTCTGTGGGGGCATTTCACCTACCCACCTGCTTCCCACCAGGCTGTAGGGTAATAACAATCTCTCCACCTCTTACTCAGACAGAAAGACCCTAACAGTTTTATATCTATTAAATAAATACCCCTTGTTCTGGGTGGGACCCAGCAGATGCAATGAGAACATTGCTGAGCTATTTGCATAATGAGGAACTCCAGGTAAGATTACCCCTAATCCAAAGGAGATCTACTTGATTTTCTTCCCTGGAGGTCTTTTTTGACTTCAAGCCAAGCCCAATCACATTTCTCTTGATGTGGAAAAATGGAGATCAGCTCTAGGAAAAGTCTCCGAAACAGGCATTTCCTTAAAACAATATGCTCCATGAAAAAAAGTTTCCTGATCAAAGACTCACACACTAATGCTCTCTTGAAAGATCACAGTAACATTAATAAATTAATGGGCTTGAGAAGTCCTATGACAATGAACCAATTTAACTGTGTAATCCAAACATTTCTCAAACACATTTGAACATGGGAAGACCCTCTTTTAATAGCTTTCAACATTCTGCTACAATTCCAGGAAGCAGAAGAGATGTCCATTTATCTCTTCCATCTTACTTTACACAATTCATTACCAACACTTCAGTAGTGCTCCCTGTTTCTCAGGTGAATCAGGGGGCACAGCAAAACGAACAACAGCTCTGGATTCAATACCCACTAAACACCTGAAAGAGGACTGTACTGCTATTTTGACCTTATTTAGTTGTCTTTCTAGCTTATCTCTTAATGTGGGCAAAGTATCCCATGATGGTAACTGAAACTACCCCTCAAAAGCAATCAGAACTGCTCTGATGACAGCAAGACCCTGCATGACTGGCCCCGAGATAATGATCAACCTGACCTTTACTGCCCACTTGCACTTACCCACTCACTTTTGTCCCACATTTTCCTTGTATGAACCTGTTAAGTATTGCTGGCGTTTTGGACACAGTCTTTGAGATGCTGGTCTACTGTTTTCCCAGTGTTGGCCTCACTGAAATAAATTCCTTTCCTGTTTCACCAACATTCCTCTCTCTGCCTTTGAGATTTTGTCAGCGGCGAGTGGCTGAACCTGGTCTGTCTGGGGCCCCCGGGCAGGTGCTCTTGCACCCCTGCGTCCCAGCTACACAGATTATGCATAAAACACTCTGCTAGTGTTTGTGGAAAATGTAGATATAGAGCCAAGTCTTGTTCCTTCCTCAAGAAGTTTGGCCCTTGGCTATTTGGTTCTGTATCCTTAAAAAAGATTTTTTTAATGTTTATTTTTGAGAGAAACAGAGACAGAGCATGAGAGGGCGAGGGGTAGAGAGAGAGGGAGACACAGAATCTGAAGCAGGCTCCAGGCACCCCTGGTTCTGTACTTTAAAAGGAACATGGATTCAGGGGTGCCTGAGTGGCTCAGTCAGTTGAGCGACCGACTTCAGCTCAGGTCATGATCTCACGGTTTGTGAGCTCGAGCCCTGCGTCGGGCTCTGTGCTGACAGCTCAGAGCCTGGAGCCTGCTTCGGATGCTGTGTCTCCCTCTCTCTCTACCCCTTGCCCGCTCACACTCTGTCTCTTTCAAAAAAAACATTAAAAAAAAAAAAAGAAAGGAATATGGATTCAAAATCAACTGGTTTCATTTTCAGTCCTACGGTTCACTTAGGTCCTTTCCTCTATGAATATTCCAAGTGGAATAACTTTAGGTATGACAGACCTGTGTTCAGAATCCAGCTGTTACTAACTGTATGACCTTAGCCATCACAATTTTAATATTAAGAGAAGGATGCTTCCTTGGAAAACAAATCTAAAAGAACCTTACAGTTTTCTTTGGTGTCTTTGAGGGGGTCTGTAAGGATGACTTCATGGAAGAGCATAGGTTCCTGGACAACCTACTGGATGTTCTCCTTGGAAGGGGTGGTGTGGAAGTCTCTTCCTCTTCACTGCTAGAGTCTGAAATCTCTGCTGCCGGCAGAAACTCATCCTCTTCTTGGTTACTTTTACTATTACCTAAAAACCTGAATGGTGGGACACATTATTTTCTGATGTTCAGTGTCTAAATAAGAAGTTCCCTAATAGGTCAGTGTGGATTAGAAGTATCACAGTCTTGGGGCGCCTGGGTGGCGCAGTCGGTTAAGCGTCTGACTTCAGCCAGGTCACGATCTCGCGGTCCGTGAGTTCGAGCCCCGTGTCGGGCTCCGGGCTGATGGCTCAGAGCCTGGAGCCTGTTTCCGATTCTGTGTCTCCCTCTCTCTCTGCCCCTCGCCCGTTCATGCTCTGTCTCTCTCTGTCCCAAAAATAAATAAACGTTGAAAAAAAAAAAAAATTTAAAAAAAAAAAAGAAAAAAAAAAAAAAAAGAAGTATCACAGTCTTTCCTGCAACCAAGTAACAAAAGATGTGCTCTGCTTCTTGGGCCCTTGCTACTGTGATGCTCTGCTAAGGGCTTTATTTATATTATCTTGTTAAATTCCTCAACAACCTTGTGACTTGTATTTTGTCATTCCCATCTTGTAGAAGAGGAAACTGAAGCTTAGAAAGGTTAAGTAACCTTCCCAAGGTTACATAGTACAACAAAGCTCAGGTTCAAATCCAAGCTGCCAGAATCAAAGTTCATTCTTTTAGGCACTTCACTAAGTCTTGCTGGGTGCAATTATGAAGTCCTGGGAGCCACCTGATCCCAGGGTAGTGTTTCTTGCCGCTTTCAAATTATGACATTTATGTGAAATTAACATAATCCCAGACATACTTAGTAAAAGGTAAATCTAACAAATAACAAAAAAATATGCCAGGCTTTAAGAAATAAGATTATAGATATCATAGATGGTAGCGATAAACGTTTTCTGCCTGCTAAGGAAGTCTTACCGAAGCTGCTGCCTAATCCGATTCAAAGTCAAGAGAGAACTCTTTCTGTGGATCCGATGTGGGGTAGTGGTAGCTCCATCCTGAGCCTCTGGTTCTTCTGCCTCCCTGCAAGATATTACAGCAAGATTACAAGAAATGGTTTTGAGCACTAGGAATCAGTGGCAGCATCCGAAGTAGTCAAGGGGACTAATGGGTTCCTATTCTTTTTACAGCTACATTGGAGGAACCAATAACACTCTGCGAAAATGTTTATAATTGAAGTCTGACTCAAAAACAAAGTTTGACTAAAGCTTGTCATTTAAATCAGACTCGTGCCCTTCTCAACTACAGACCAGAGTATACTAATCCCAGGCAGTTTCTTGTCTTTTGTTGATTCTGAGGTATTGATGGATTTCCTGTCCAGTCTCAAGGTTAGCAGAAATGTAGCTACATATTAAATACAAAGCATTTACCAAGCAAACCTATTATTGACCAGGTGCTGGAGTCTCTGAGCAGGAAATATTGAAATGTATAATTTCTGTCTTGTCACATTATTTGTGCAGCCCATTATTTACAAACATTGCCTAGTGTCAAACTGTAAAGTTTGTTCTAGATGCATTATCTTCTTGTACTACATGTATTTGAGAATGGTTTCCAGTTAAAAAAAACAACAACAGGGGTGCCTGGGTGGCTCAGTTGGTTGAGCGTCCAACACTTGATTTTGGCTCAGGTCATGATCCCAGAGTCATAGGATCAAGCGCTGCATCAGGCTCCGCACTGAGTGTGGAGCCTGCCTAAGATTCTCTCTCTTTCCCCCCCTTCCTCTGCTTGTGCTCTCTCATTCTCTCAAACAACAACAACAACAACAACAACAAATCCAACTCAACAGACTAAGAAACTGACTGTTAATATGTGGTGAAGAGCCATACCAGGACTGTGAAGCAATCCAGGTTTGGGAAATTATCTTCCAGAGCAGTGACCCCCCAAATGACAGCTAGGTATATCAGAATCATCTAAAAAGCATTTCTAAATGCAGATTCCTGGGCCTCACACTTGGAGATTCACAATGTCTGGGAAGAGGCTCCAAAATCTGTGTTTTGGAAAGGCTCCTGGGTGATTCTACAGCAGTCAGATATGAGATCTGCTGCTCTAACTTTAGCAACTCTGTCCCACACATTTCACATCATGTGAAGGATCTCAATTTGCTCTGTGGGAGGCAGGGTAACACCCCCAATCACCTCTTTTTGATGTTTTCTGGTTTCAGAACCACAGAAGGCACCGAGGATTTCCAGCCTCCCCTGATAGGGGTAAGTGTTCTTTCCTCACAAATCTCTGTGGTTTTCAAAGCTGGGACTCGGGTTCTCAGGATCCTGTGACAGTCAGGTGAAGCCTTCTTGTCATCCTTGGCACATGAGCTTTGAATCTCTCCAGTTTTCTGCGGGGCTTTCAGAGCTGGAGACGAGGTATGAAGTCTATCAGGCTGAGACCTCTTAGTAGGTGAGGTGATTTCAGAGAGGGTCACTTTTCGTTTACTTCTTCCAGGAGAATCCAACGAGGCCCCTGAATTCTGCTGGGAAATCCTAGTGTTGGGTGTCCTAGAGAAACCTAATCCCAAGAGAAATCACCACAGATGATGTATGAATTTTGTAATAAGCACTATTAACACCCTCAATCTCATTCTAGCTAAATTCATCATTGTGTAACTTTGTGAAGTTACACAAAGACATGCGCTGTCCATATTTGTAATTACTGCATGCTTTCTTTCCCCAGGCCAGGAAGCTCTTATTATTTTTTGTCTCTCCTAAATTCCATGGATGATTTTCCTGGTTAGAACCATAAGTCAACCGTTAAATCAGCTTTTGTGATTCAGCAATTTCCCTGAAGTAATCTACCAAAACAGTGGTTCTTAACCAAGGGTGATACTGCAACCTCTCAGCCCCCATTCAACAGCATTTGAAACAATTTCTATCAGTAGCTGCATTCAATAACACCAAGGCCTAGATTTTTCTTAACTCAGATTATATCTATCCATAGAGATGAGATGGATCCCTGGGGGCAATCAAATGGGTTCTGTGAATGCACAGACCCACATTTGGATTTGCCCCTTTACCATGACCAAAGGCACCAGGAACTCAGCCATTCATTCAGATATCAGCAGAGCTGTAAAAATGGCAGGGTGTGTGCCAGGTGATAGGAGAAAACAAAAACTGAATGAAACTCAATCCTGGTCCCTATTCACAGGATGTTCTAGTCTAACTGGGGAGATGATACATGTAAATGTCTATAATATGAAGTAAAATCATCCTAAAGCACCTAAGTGCTAATAAATATGGCTTTTGAGATAGACCTTGAAAAAAAGACAAGATTTCAACAGAGTTGAAAGGGGAGGGAAGGGGGCATATAGGGAGAGAACAGATCAGATCGATGTGAGTGAAGACAACAAGGCAAGAAAGCACTGGGCACAGAGGAGTTCACTTTAGTCACAGCACATGGTTTTGTTGGGAACAGCTGCAGGTAAGGTGAAGGAAGCCATCTATACCTGTGTGATGAATATGAGGGTAACTCATATCTAGATTGATATAAAAATGTTCCAATGTCCTGGTCTCCTTCATACCTCATTTTCCCATCTTTCTGTTAAAAACAATCTAAAAATTTTTCATCATATCCTCTCTCCTCTAATTATGTAACTGTGTCAAGTCTAAATTTCTTACCCCAACTGTCAAGGTCCTGCAAATTCAAGTCAAAAAAATACCACCATTTATTTCTAAATGGCAATGTTGCCAATTATTTCTTTAGTAATCTTCTGGTATTTCCCAAATGTTTTACAAATTTATATTCAACTCCTAAATATAGACTGTACTAAGGGGCTATCAAGAACACAAACAACTTATGCCCAACAAACTTGGCACATACACAAAGAATTCAGGACTAATGACACATAATAGGATGAGCTCTCAGAACCGCCATGAAGTGGCTTCAAATACATTAGAAGTGAAAAAAGTAAGATGAAAAGGGATATATCCAGTATGCTACTCTACTGGATAAGAAAAAAAAATTATATGCATGTTTTAGTATATGCTTATGTGTGTGTGTCTGTCTGTATGTGTGTATATATGTATGTATGTATGTATGTGTATACACACACACACAGATATCTGATTTTTGCAAAAAAAAAAAAAAAAAAAAAAAAAAACACACACACACACACACACACACAGAAAAAACAAACCAGAAACTAATAAAATTGATTACCTACAAAAGATGGAATGGAAACAGGGTACAAGGGCAAAGAAAGGAATGGGTCTTCTCTGAATACACTTGTTTTAAATGGCTTTGACTCTTATTTTACTGTTTTACATGCTTAAAAAAATTAATCACAGGTGGGAAAGGCCCTAAAATTAAACAGAAATAAAAGAACCTAACTGCCTATCACCAATAATATAACCATCAGAGGGAAAAGAAAAAAAACAATCAAAATAACTTTACTCCCTCAGTGAGATATATTCTAAAGGCATAAAGAACTGCAAATAAATTTTGAACTTTAGTTGGTAAGTTAACTACTGGTAGTAGTATTGGTATAGCAATCGTGAAATTACTTTGTACTGGGATTGCTCCTGAGAACCAAGGCTCTTCTTAAAGACGGGAGATACAACTATGGAATATGGGAAGGTGAGGAAGAACCCTGTGGTATAGATTAAAAGTATCAATATGAATTTAAGAGTTTTAAAATATGTATTTCTTATCTCTTCTACAAGGATCTAAAAGCAAGGTCATCTTAATAAGCAAAGCTTTCGAAGATATAGGGCTCAACATTACTAATCATTAGGGAACAATTATGTAACAATGACATCCCTCACATCCATGAGGCTGGCTACTATAAAAACACAGAAAACAGCAAGTGTTGGTGAGGATGTGGGGAAATTGGAACCTTTGTGCACTGTTGGTGAAAATGTAAAATGATGCAGCTGCTATGGAAAACAGTATGGTGGTTCCTAGAAAAATTAAAAATACAACCTAACATATGACCCAGCAATTCCACTTCTGGGTATATACCCAAAATGAAAGCAGACACTTGAGCAGATATTTATACACCCATGTTCATAGCAATAAGTTAGGATAGCCAAAAGGTGAAAGGAACCCAAGTATCCACTGACAGATGAATGGATAATCAAAATGTGGTATATATATACTATAGACTATTATTTAGCCTTAAAAAGGAAATTTTACCTCAAATAGCCAAAGCAATCTTGAGAAAGAAGAACAAAGCTGGAGGCATCACGCTCCCTGATTTCAAACTATATTACAAACCTATAGTAATCAAAACAGTAGGGTATTGGCATAAAAACATACATATAGATCTGTGGTACAGAATAGAAAGTCCCAAAATAAACCCCCACACACGGTCAATTAATTTACAAAAAAGGAGCCAAGAATATACAATGGGGAAAAGATAGTCTCTTCAATAAATGGTCCTGGGAGAACTGGACAGCCACATGCAAAAAAAAAAATGAAATGGGACCCTATCTTCCACCATACACAAAAAACAACTCAAAATGGACTAAAAATTTGAATGTCGACCTGAAACCATAAAATTCCTAGGAGAAAACGTAGGTGGTAAGCTCTTTGACATTGGTCTTGGAGATGATTTTTTGGATCTGAAACCAAAAGCAAAAACAAAGCAAAAATAAACAAGTGGAACTACATCAAACCAAAAAGTTTCTGCATCAACAAAATGAAAAGGCAAATATGAGTGAGAGAAAATATTTACAAATCATTTATTGGATAAGGGGTTGATATCCAAAAAGACAAAGAACTCATATAACTCAACAGCAAAAAGACAAACAATCTGATTAAAAAATAGGCAGAAGATCTGAATAGACAGTTTTCCAAAGAGGACATACAGATAGCCAACAGGTACATGGAAAGATGCTTAGTATCACTAATCATCAGGGAAATGCAAATCAAAATTAGAAGACAACACATCATATCTGTCAGAATGGCTATTATCAAAAAGACAAGTGTTGATGAGAACATGGAAGAAAAGGAACCCTCATGCACTCTTGGCAGGAATGTAAATTGGTATAACCACTGTGGAAAACAGTATGAAGGTTCTTCAGAAAATTAAATAGAAATATCATTCAATCTAGCAATTCTACTTTTGTGTATTTATCTGAAGAAAAGGAAAACACTAACTTGAAAAGGTATGTGTACCTCCATGCAGTATTAGATACAATAGTCAAGATATGGAAGCAACTTAAGTATCCATCAATGAATGAATGGATAAAGATACATACACATAAACACACACACACACACACACACACACACACACACACACACACACACAGGGAGGAATATTTTTCAGCCAAAAAAGGAATAACATCCTGCCATTTTCAACAACATGAATGGAGCTTCAGGGCTTTCCACTAAGTGATATAAGTCAGAGAGAGAAAGACAAATATCCTATGACCTCACTTATATGTGGACTCTAAATTTAAAAAAGTGAAAAAACAAAAAACAAGCTCATAGATAACAGGGAACAGATTGGTGATCACCAGAATCAGGGGATGGGTGAAATGGGTGAAGGAGGTGAAAACTTACTAACTTCCAGTTGCAAAGTAAGTTAAGTCATGAGGATATAGTGTACATGGAGATGTAATAGCAACTATTGTTAAGAATACAGTTATTGCATATCTGAAAGTTGGTAAGAGTAAATCTTATAAGTTCTCATCTCAAGAAAAAGTTATTTGAACCATGAGTGGTGACAGATGTTAACAAATCATTATGTTGTATAACTGAAACTAATATAATGTTATGTTAATTACACCTCAATTTTCTTTAAAAAGGGAAAATTTGACACATGCTACAACATGGATGGTCCTTGAGGACATTATGCTAATTTAAACCAGTCAGAAAAGGGTAAATTCTGTATGATTCCACTTCTATGAGGTATCTAGAGTAGTCAAATTCAGTAAAAGAAAGCAGAATGGTGGTAGTCACCCAGGGATGGTGGATGGGGAATTGGGAGTTATTGTCTAATGGTTGCAGAGTTTCAGTTTTAGAAGATGATGGTGATGGTTGCACAAAAACAAATGTATTTAATGCCATTTAACTGTACACTTAAAAATGACTAAAATGGGAGATGGTTAAGCATCAGGTCATGATCTCGCCGTTTGTGAGTTCGAGCCCTGCGCCCGGCTCTGTGCTGACAGCTCAGAGCCTGGAACCTGCTTCTGATTCTGTGTCTCCCTATCTCTCTGCTCCTCCCCTGTTTCCTCTCTCTCAAAAAAAAATAAACATTTTTTAAAAACTAAAAAATTACTAAAATGGTAAATTTTATACTGTGTGTGTTTCAACATGTGTCCAATCAGTACCTGGCCCACTGTTCAATACTATAGCACTAACTCAATACTATATGAGTTAATATTTTATCATATTCCTTTAGTCTCAATATTGCCCACTGTGACCCATCTCACACTTACCATTGAGCTCCAGTTTCTTCTTTGCCCTTGGGGTGACAGGATGAGAAGGAGTTCGGCGAGATTTGGAGGTAGAATGCCTTGATTCAATCCTTTTGATCGCATGTTCTGCTGTGGTCCTAGAAGGGCTTTCTATGCTCTTGGTCTTGACTCCCACAGGCTTCTGGCTCCTCGGGCTGCCTTCTTGTAGCTTATCAAACTCTGCAAATAGTTCTGGGGATAGTGGTCTGAATGCCTTCTCATTCCAAGACAGTTTCACAAAGAGTATCTTCTCATCTTTCAGATCCATAGGTAACACTTCATCTGGGCCTAATGCTACTACCTGAATTTAGGATGTACAGGTGAACAGGAAGAAACGTGAACCAAATGAGCCAAGGAATTCTTCATGAGAGTGATGATTAAAAATCATTTAATCTGTATCCTTACCTAGAATGTCACTCTTCCAAACTAAAGAGGCACAGACATGGCATAGCAAATTTCCAGACTCCTAGCTGACACTCCTACACTGAGCTGTTTTCTTTCCCAGTCCAATCTACTCACTCATGTCAAATTTCCCCACAACTTCTCTAAGCACGCTCCCCTGCTCAAGTCCATAATGGCTCCCAGCTCCAGCAAGATCTGATTATTAAACTGGTTTTTGGTACCTTCTAAAATCTGGCCCCACTCTACCTCCTGAGTGCTCAGTATCTTCCAAATGGCCTTCCATCACTATTTGAGCTTGGCTTGTCACAGCCCTGCTTATCCCCCACACCCCATTATGTTCCTACCTAAATACCTTCTTCCCACTCTGCCTTTCCAAATTGACCCATTTTGCTACTTCAACTTCTATATCTGCCTTTTACTCCTTCACTCTTTTAACTCCAGAGACAAATTATTTTGAGGCATATGCTATGCTGGGCTCACAGACTGGAAAAGAAAACAGACTATGGTCATGCCATACCTAAGTCTCTTTGCCCTACCATTAAACCAACTACTTAGGAGCGCCTGGGTGGCTCAGTCGGTTAAGCGTCGACTTCAGCTCAGGTCACAATCTCGCGGTCCGTGAGTTCAAGCCCTGCGTCAGGCTCTGGGCTGATGGCTCAGAGCCTGGAGCCTGCTTCCAATTCTGTGTCTCCCTCTCTCTCTGCCCCTCCCCCGTTCATGCTCTGTCTCTGTCTCAAAAATAAATAAACGTTAAAAAAAAATAAATAAATAAACCGACTACTTAATCACCATGAGACCTTATTTCATATCATGATCTAACCCCATTTTAGGGGCCTGAAGTAGCTCAAAAAATAATCTGTATCTTAGTTTCCAAACCAGTGTCTCAATTCATTCTACAGTTCATCGGAACCTGATTTATCACAAAATCACGTAAAATAAATTTGCCCTAAGCAACTAACACTCTTTGTACCGATCTACTCAAGGTGAAGTCCTCATTTAAGCAAGTGTATTCACCCTTGCAATGCTTTGTCTGCCACAATCACAGCTAAATATAATTTCCCACTGAGATACATTTGCTAATTCCTGCTCATCCCTCAGGTCACAACCTAAATGTCACTTCCTCCAGGAGGCTCCTAACACACAGTAAGTGCTCTCCATAAATATTTGTTGAGATAAAGTAGGCAGGTAAGCAGAAAAGATGACAAACAGGGAAAAATGCATTTCCGTAGGGTAAATTAAAGCCAGTAATATTTCTGAGGTCATGCAGTTTAGGAGGCAGCCAGAAATAAACTTCAAGATAGAACTGAGTGTCAAGGCATCACCTACCTGCACATGGCCAATGATGGTCTCAGCATTAATGTTGCTATTACAGGCAGGGTAATCATACCAGAATATCTCCTGTGCTGCAGGCTTCCGGCCCAGCAAATGCCGTTTACTGACAGGCACTTCACAGAATCTGATAAACCACTGGACTCGAGCACGTTTCTTGGAATGAGGTTCAGAATCTAGGAGGGATAGGTGGAAAAGGGAGGGTTAAGAAAATGCAAGAACAGGGGCGCCTGGGTGGCGCAGTCGGTTAAGCGTCCGACTTCAGCCAGGTCACGATCTCGCGGTCCGTGAGTTCGAGCCCCGCGTCAGGCTCTGGGCTGATGGCTCGGAGCCTGGAGCCTGTTTCCGATTCTGTGTCTCCCTCTCTCTCTGCCCCTCCCCCGTTCATGCTCTGTCTCTCTCTGTCCCAAAAATAAATAAACGTTGAAAAAAAAAAAAAAAAAAATTAAAAAAAAAGAAAATGCAAGAACATTTTATTAAACACTTCCTATGTGCCAGACACTGTACTAAGCACCTGATAATACTTGATTGACACATTATTTTTAATCCTCACATTAACCCTACAAGGTAGGTATTATGGCTATCTCTCTTTTACAGGCAAAGTAATCAAGTTACAGGGACCTTAAGTAATTTGTCAAAGGTCATAGGATCAACCAGCAGCGATCTGACTCCACCAGCACCCATGTCTTTCTCATTTTATTCCACTTCCTAATGAGGCTATCGGTCATCAAAGAAGTTACAAAAGGCATTTGAGAGGAGCAATTCTAAACACAGGCACTGAACAAATCTGGCAAATCAGGGATTATAAAGAAGCCACCAAAAATAGCAAAACAAAAATTGTGGCAAAAATTAGAGCATTAGCCACTGAGGTGACTTCCAGCAAACGTATGCTTGCATTTTTTAGCTTTATCTTTATACATTAATATGATATTAGTATACATTAATATCACTCCATACCAGCATCAGGCCCAAGTGAAAGGACATACACAATCACTAGCACCACCATCATCATCGCCTCTTCTCTTCCCTCACTTCAGATAAAGACTGAAGCCATCCAATGGAGCAACACACAAAGATTCTAAAATCTATACACAAAGGCCCGTAGCTCAAATACAGAAGCCCACCGCGCCAATGTGCTCCCCCTGGTGGATGTTAGTTTCATGAGGTTTTCCTCCACATTCCTTTTAGGCATACAAACTGCCACAGGAATACCTATCCTGTCATTCTCTGCCTAGCTTTTGGAAGACACAGTTTTATGTAGTTTCTAATTGCTATCTTTCTTCTTCTTCTTGTTTTTTTAAAGTTTATTTATTTATTTTTGAGAGAGAGAAAGAGGGACAGAGGATCTGAAGAGGGCCCTGTGCTAACAGCAGAGAACTTGATGTGGAGCTTGAACTCACAAACCATGAGATCATAACCTGAGCCGAAGTTGGACGCTTAACTGACTGAGCCATCCAGGAGCTCCTGCTATCTTTATTCTTAATTCCCCTTTTGGAACTCTGCCCCATTCCTACCTTTCTGCTTTGCAGAGGGTTAAAAGCTCAGAAAGTCAGTTGAGGGCTGTGAGTGTGGACATGCAGCCTCTGGTTAACACTACCTTCCCTTTTGTTCCTCTAGAATTAGGGGTAGTAATGGCTTTCTGCACTTACTGATCTCTGGGAAATACCACCTTTTGTTCCTCCAGCCTTTTCAACACTTATATACAAGTCCCTATGGGAAAAACTAAAGATCTTTTTGTTTTCTTGATTGAACATCAACTGACATACCTTCCCAATCCAACTTATCTCCTCCCTTGTAAAAAAAAAGTTACATTTTCAAAATTCATCACTGTCTTCCTCATACTAAAATTAAAGGACACCAGGGTGCCTGGGTGGCTCCGTCAGTTAAGCATCTGACTTTGGCTCAGGTTATGATCTCGCGGTTTGTGAGTTTGAGCCCCACATTGGGCTCTGTGCTAACAGCTCAGAGCCTGGAGCCTGCTTTGGATCCTGTGTCTCCCTCTCTCTGCCCCTCTCCTGCTCACATTCTGTCTCTCTCTCTCTCAAAAATAAACATTAAAAAAAATTTTTGTTAATTAAATTTAAAGGACACGTCTGTATCATCTATTTTTTTTCCTTCCCCCTTCCTCCTGAATTTATCCTTTATCCAAAACTGCCTTAAGGACCATTTTTACCCACTCCTAAAAATAATGGAAAACCTAATTCTTGAACCCCGCCAATCCCATTTTTACCCACTACTGCTCTAGCGAGCAAAAAAGTTTACTAGACGTAACAGGGTACAGCTAGTGCTTAAGTGACCCCACCTCAGAATCTAGGGTTCACACCCTCTATGTTGCAGTGAACAGAAAAATCAGCAATCAGAAATCTTGCAGCTCCCAATCATTTATGATAAGGAATGGTTCTCATTCCAGCCCCAAACTCACCATCTTCAAACAACTCAACCAATTTAGCAACATACGGATTTTCATCATCATCCCCTTCAATCAACACGAATTGTCCAACTTGGATGTGAATCTCAGTCAAACTACCTTCTATTTTGACACTCATTTCTCTAGGAGGGAGAGAAACATGTTAGGAAATCGTTTAGGATGGGCCAACCTCTTCCGACCCTCTGGGCACAGATGAAAGTGCTCTCCCACTGGAAATCCCCGAAATAGTTTCTCTCTGATGACCAATTCTCCTATTAGGAAACCAATTCACCCATAAAGTCATATGCCAGAAGAGATGAAATGGGTTGAATCAATTGTTTCAGTGTGAATGATTAATCTAGAGGCCTTACTATGAACCCTAACTTCTCTCAGTTATTGACAAAGAACAAAGGCTTCCCAAGCATGAAAGCTGCCCAGTAACAGTATCAAATTCTTCAGAGACCTCTAGGGCTGAAAGGACATCTAAACAACATCAAATCCCACCCTATTATTATGCAGAAATACACAGAACCCACCTTAAATAGATATAACATTATCATACCTACCAAATTTTATTAATGATATAACGTCTTACTGTATCACTGCTTTATTTATGCTATCATCTTACATTAAACAAAACCCTTCCTTATAATCTATTCATATTTATTGTCCCTCAACTCTCAATCTGTAATAACTAGAACAGGCTGGATACAAGTTATTAATAGTTTAGTGTGGAGAAGCTATTATTTCCAGGACACTCAACAGAGTCCATCACTCACTTGTAGATGTGGTAGTGTAGTTTTTGATCCAACAATGGCCTGCCAACCCACGAGTAAGTTTGTCTGGTCTTCAGCCTTGTAGGGTAGTATGCCATGGCTCCTATGTGAAAGTCACTAACTGAGTTAACATGACAATGCTCTGATGGATTCTAGTACACAGTTCCCTGCCTTCGGTGAGTTCGGCCTACTCTTCTGCCCCCAATACATTTTATATCCAGATTTTAGATTTAGAAAACATTTTCTTTGATGAAAAAGTCAAGTTCTATACAGGCTGAACACAGGAAATTTAGTATCATCTGTGTATGTCTTGTACTGTCTTATCTGTTCCTATGCACAGTCAATATGTAAGAAAAGAAACTATAAATATTTAGAAGTACCTACTAGCTACAATGCACAATGATAGGTATTACACATTCAACAACTCGAAACTAAATACAGTGATACAATGGTTGTAAGCATCTTCATAACACTTATAAACCAGGTCTTAAGGCTGTTGAAGTAGCAAAGGCTCCCTACAGGGGTTTTCTGAACTGAATATTGAATAGTAAGTAAATATTGATAAGATAAAATTAAATGAGGGATTCTAAGGGATGGAGGGAAAAACATGCAAGAGGCATTTAGGGGAATGGTAATGGGTTTTATCAAGTGTATCATTACACTTACATTGAAGACAAAAAACACAAAACCTCTCTGACATTTGAAAGGGGACTTTTCCTGTGCATCTGACAGACCCTAGCTGTAAGTAGTGTGAATAGCAAAAAGAAATGCTTATGTTAAAGTACATGGGGAAAAAAAGGAGACACTTTTACTGATAAAAACAGAAATGTGAATGAAAAATCCAAGGATATCTGACAATCCTCTCTACAATTTGAGAGCTGCAATCTATTAGTCCTAATAATAATGCCAATCTATTATTTTAAGTTTAAGTAATTAAGATAATAAATCTTTCCTCTAAATTCAATGCTTTTTTTATGAAATTAAAATTTGACAAAACTGGGGCTAAATAAAAAATTTTTTAATCCTTTTGACAGAATTACTCTGAATTACTGATAGATGGGCCAATAATTTCAGGCTGTGTTGAAAACAACACCCTGATTAAACAAGCTCGTTTCCTAAAGTTCAGTAGCATGTCCTATATTCTAACTTGGGAACATTCTGACCTATAAGATTTTCAGCTTTTGAAAAAGGTATTTTTTATGGGGCACCTGGGTAGCTCAGTAGGTTAAATGTCTGACTTCAGCTCAGGTCATGATCTCACAATCTGTGAGCTGGGAGTCCTGCATCGGGCTCTCTGCTGTCAGCTTGGCCCACTTGGGATCCTCTGTGTCCCCCTCTCTCTGCCCCTCCCCTGCTCATGCTCTCTCTCTCTCTCCCTCCCTCTCTCAAAAATAAACAAAAAAACCCCACACTGAACATTTAAAAAAATAAATTTAAAAAAATAAAAAAGGTATTTTTTCCTATGCTTTGAGGAAACTAATTAGCAAAAAGAAGAAAAGATACTAAGTCATTAGTAAATACACAGCTTAGAAAAGATGCCTAAATGATTGCTATTAAAAACATTAACAGTACTATATAATTCACACACAATACTATTAAAATGAATCTAATTTTAATTAAGTACATCACAGAAATGAACAAATAGCAAAGACTAAGGAGTAAAAAATGTAGGAGACTTGTGCTCAAATAAAAAGTGAATTTGGATTCATTATAAACAATAATCTCTTGGTAAAAATTAGTAAAACGTTTTGAATCACAATAAATGTTAAGGAAATACAGAACACTAACTTACCTTACAATATATGTTTCTTTTAATGGATGATCTAACACAGAACTGTCAGTAGTAAACTTGGATCTTTTCACCTTTCCACAATGCAACCAGGCAAAATAGGCTACAGAGGTAACAAAAGATGCAAATAAATTACAGATCTCACTAAACCCTGCCATTAAAAAAAAACAAAAACCTGGAATATCACTGAGAGTACTTTGCAGCAAACTGGTCTCCCTGAAAACTTTCTATAATTCCCGAATAATCTAAGTGTAGAATAAATCACCTGATTTGCCACTTTGACTATAATATTTGACTCCACTGAAACAACATTTTCATTCTTTCAACCCCCAAATTGGCAAAGAGAAGGACAACCACCTATAAGGTACTCATGTATACCTAAGGGAATCAAATCCAAGCTCTCAGCTTTTTATAATACGATGATATTTTAGCTTACTAAAGCAGACATCCTCCTTCAAAAACCAATCCAAGATAAAATTTCTAGGAGGTCATGAGCTATGATCAATGAGACCAGTATGTGGGGTGCCTGGGTGGCTCAGTCAGTTAAGCATCCAACTCGATTTCAGCTCAGGTCATGATCTCACGGTTCGTGGGATTGAGCTCCACACTGGGCTCTATGCTGACAGTGCAGAGCCTGCTTGCAATTCTCTCCTTCTCTCTGTCCCTCCCCACCTCAAAAGAATAAAAAATTTAAAAAATGAGACCAGTATATGGACATATATATACAAGGGTGGGTGGTTTACCCTAGGCTGAACAAACAGGGATACTGGAAGAAAGACTGTCTGGGCTTAGACATATAACCTGCCTCCCACTGCTCTATCACTATGCTTCAAGCCTGCTTTCCCAAACTTTAAGCAGATCAAGGTTGTTGGTGTCCTCAGATGTATTACACAGTTGCTGTTCTCTCTTCTTGCATATATTTGCAGGGATGGCTCAGGTCTCAGCCCCAATAAAACTTTCTCAGATAGGCCTTCACTGATACCCAATGGAAAGTTACCCTGTTACTCCCTTATACTGTCCATCATGTTCCATTACCCCACCCTATGATCAAAGCAATAAACACTATATTAATTTCTTATTTATTGTACTTCCTATACTAGAATGTTAACTTCCAGGGGGGCCTGGGTGGCTCAGTCAGTTAAGCATCTGGCTCTTGATTTTGGCTCAGTTCATCAATTTCATGGATTCATGAGTTTGAGCCCCACATCAGGCTCTGTGCTGATGGCATCAAGCCTGCTTGGGATTCTCCCTCTTTCTGTCTCTCCCCTGCTCACACTCTCTCTCAAAATAAATAAACTTAAAAAAAAAAAAAAAAAAAAAAAAAAAAAAAGAATGTTAGCTTCCAAAAAGCACAGATATTGGGACCTTGTCTATCTTATTCATAACTGTATCCCCAGAGCCTTGGTTAGTACTTGGCACACAAAAGGTGAATGAATGAAAAAACAAATTGATTTTAAAAATTGTCTGACTCTTGATTTTGGATCAGGTCATGATCTCATGGTTCATGAGCCCCATGGTGGGCTCCATGCTGACCGTGCAGAGCCCGCTTGGGATTCTCTCTCATTTCCTCTCTCTCCCTCTCCCCTGCTTGCTCTCTCTCTTTCTCTCAAAAGAAGTAAATAAACTTAAAAAAAAAGGATTTAAAAAATCATTAGTGTCAATTAATACCAAGTGTGGTATGGACAGAGAACAGCCAGAAATCTCATACACTGCTGAAGGGCACGTAAATTGGTAAAACTGCTTTGGAAAATGGGCAGTATCTACTAAAACTGAACACATGAACATCCTATGACCCAGGAATTCCAACAGAATATACCCAACATAAAAACATACAAACCATTGAAAGACATGAACCAGAATGTTCACAGCAGCTCTATACAGCAATGAAATTCAACAAACTATAACTGCACACATGGGGAAAATCTCACAAAATAACAATGAACTAAAGAAATCAGACACCAGAAAATATCATACTCTATCAATTCCATTTATATAAAGTTCAAAAATAGGTAAAAGTAACCTATGGTGTTAGAAGTCGTAATAGAAGGTAACCTAGGTGACTGAAAGGGAACATGGTGGGAAGCCGGATGTTTCTGGGACGCTGGTCATGTTTCTTGATCTGCATGCTGGTTGCACAGGTATGTTCTCTTTTTTTTTTTATTTAAAAAAAATTTTTTTTTCAACGTTTATTTATTTTTGGGACAGAGAGAGACAGAGCATGAACGGGCGAGGGGCAGAGAGAGAGGGAGACACAGAATCGGAAACAGGCTCCAGGCTCTGAGCCATCAGCCGAGAGCCCGACGCGGGGCTGGAACTCACGGACCGCGAGATCGTGACCTGGCTGAAGTCGGACACTTAACCGACTGCGCCACCCAGGCGCCCCAGGTATGTTCTCTTTAAGAAAATTCATTGACCTGTACATTTGATATGTTCACTTGTCTGTAAATATTTTTCAATGAAAAGTTCAAAAAATTAATGGAGAGTCCATCTAAGAGGCAGCATAAGATGTCAAGCCTCTTTGTACTGTTATCCCACTTTCTTACCTTATGACCCAGCATTTCATCTCATCCACCATCAGCGGAGAGATCACCCAAGAGGGGTGATGAATGGGGTAGAAAGGCAGTCAGTCTGACTTGGCCTAGCAAAGGCTTTGGCTTCTAGGAGATACCCACAACAGACTCTCAGTGTTGCAGATACCAGAAATCGGGAACATACATACCACCCAGTGCAGGGTGCCACACCCAAGGAAAACATAAGGGAGTCATGGTTGCAGTAAAAATGATAGCGGATACATATTGAGCCAATATTATGATAGAAGGTGGAGCCAAAACTCTATGAATTTATCTCATTTAATCCTCAAAATAATCCTAGAACAATGCTAGCACATATTAAGTGCACAGTAGGTACTCAATAATAAATATTTGCTGAATGAAAGGTAGGTGCTATTAGCCCTTCAAAATGATTTAACTTGTCCTGGGGCACCTGGGTGGCTTGGTCAGTTAAGCGCCCGACTTCAGCTTAGGTCATGATCTCACAGTTCATGGGCCGGAGCCCTGCGTCAGGAAGTGTTCACAGCTCAGAGCCTGGAGCCTGCTTTAGATTCTGTGTCTCTTTCTCTCTCTGCCCCTCCCCCACTCATGCTGTCTCTGTCTCTCAAAAAAGTGAATAAATGTTAAAAATTTTTTTTAAAATGATTAACTTGTCTCAATGTTACTCTGGATGGCACAGCGTTAATTAGAACCCTGAGCAGCCAGATTCCAATGAACTCTAAACCACTTCACTTTACAACACCTGTGTGAAAGTGGATACTGTATACATGCCTAAGAGAACTTGCTTCTGTTGTGCTTACTACAATAAGTCAGGCTTCCCAGGCCACTAACTGGGAAGTCAAATGTATCCCGATTTTCTTACCCACGACATGGGGATAATAATAGACTCTTCCTTCTATTCAACAAAAAATTTTAATCATCCATTGTGTGACAGGCACTATTCTAGAATTAAGTGAGAAAATGCAAAAATGGTAAAAATCACTTGCCCACTCCCTAATCCCTTGCATTTATTTTTAAGAGAAGAGTGGTTCTTTTTTTTTTTTTTAATAATTTGATGAACGTTATGAAACTCATACAATTCACACAAAATTTTGCTTTTAATTTCAGGGGATTCATAAACCTTATAAAATCCACATATTGCCCTCTATTACGTTAAAAACTGTTGCAGAAGGACATGGTAAATTATGCTGTCACATCGGAAACCTCCGTTGGCACTCACAAGTACCCAAAAACAGCACGGAAGAGGGTACCATTTTTACGGACAACTAAAAGAGAAAACTGACACATCTAATCATTGTAGTTTCGCAGATAGTAGCCCCGGATAGGAATCTCACATCTCATGTGTCTAAGTCCAGTGCTTTTTCCAACTGTAAAAACAGAAGGCCTTTCTATTCCGGAGTTAGCCTAGAGGAAGTAAAAGACGTGCCAGTAGACTTCTCTCCTAGAAAGAAGGTGCATGAGAGTCCAGCAGTTAAGAGCAGCTCATCTGGGGGTTAAAAAAAAAAGACCTGGGTAGGAGCCCAGGCCTCTTACAAAAAGCGACCTAGACAAGTCTCTCTCTGGGCTTAATTGATACATAAGTAAAATGGAGTCATAACTTCTGCTGCTTTGCCTTCCCTGTGGTGCTTGGTTCACGTTGGCTCAAAGGAGGAAAAGATGCAAATGAATCACAAGGGCAAAGCCGATAGAAGATATGGTTACGATCATTAAATGAGAACCTCAGGGCGCTGTGGCCAGGAATACTCACGCTTTTCTGCTGTTGGCTTCCGGTTTCCCCAACTGCAAATTCTCCGTCCCTGACGGAGTGGGAAGCCTTTTACAAATCGGGATGTGGAAAAGAAGAATGCTCCTAACGGGCTTAGAATTTAACAGGCGCTTAGTATATATCTGCTGAACGAATCAATGATTGAGTGCGTCCACAGAGAAAAACTTCCGCAGTCCCCCTGGCTCAGATCCCCCTCCAGCCCCGGAACTCCACACTCACCAGTTGCCTAAGCCCTCCGATTCCACCGTCTCTGCTTCAGGAGCTCGTGGAGCCGCAGCAATTCTAACCTGCCCCAGCTGGACTCCTCTTACAGCCACTGGCCGCACGCCGGAGACAAAGCGGGAGCCTACCTGGGAAAGTAGAGAAGATGGAGAAAAGAAAATTTCGCGCCAAACGTCGTGGCCCCGCCCCCAGGCTGTCTCCACGTTCCGTCACCAGCCAGCCAGCCAGCCCCGCCCACTTGGGAGGGGATGCACGCCGCTCGTCGGCAAACGTGCAGCAGCCATCATTGATTCGGTCAGCGACGCTGTTAAGCGGAGAAGTTCCTTTTCTTGCAGCATTTCCGGTATCAAGATGGTGGCTTCAGCTATTTAAAGACTTTCTGAACCCTTCTCAGTCCCTTTGTGGATTTTTTTTTTTTTT